CGATAAAACTGACATGCGAAACATAATTTTTTCAGTCTGAACACATTCGAAACCTTCACCTGAGGCGCAACTTTTGCACGTTTTTAGTTGGCAAATGAGTAAATGACTACTCCCGAGTGTGCGTAGGAGCAGTTATTATTTATGAATCTGATACAAAATTATGGCAGTTATTTCGGTCACTTTGTGGATTTTATACACGCCCTTCGGTTAATCCCTTCTAGGCAAAAAATAAACAATTTTAGGGATAATGAGTAAAATTATGTGCGTTCCATGCAAATTTCCTAAATTTCCCACCCACGACATTAATATGATTAAAAAAGCGACGGATATCCTGATGGACCAGTCTGTTGAGTCTCTTATTAAGCTTGCAATAGACTAGTAACCCAATCTTGGTATGTCACGTTAACGTTGCATGACTGGAATGACAATTGAACAATTTGCATCGGAAAAATGAAAATTTTCCCAAATAATATTTTACGTAGTGTAAAAAACGGAGTGGAAAAAAAACAATATTTAACATCACATTCTTCCTGTCTGTCTAAAGGAGAACGGGAAAATATTGACTTAAGAATCGATACTCAAGGTGATAAGACAAGTCATGTTCGCGTGAAAAGCTAGAAAAATTGATCGAAGAAATAATGAAAATTTAATTTTTTGGAAACTTCCGAGTCATTAAATATTCCGGCAAATTTGCATAGTAGGAACAATTTAGAAGATACTTCCTATTCATACGATAATAAATAACTGGCTTAATTAAGTCAAGAGCCACTATAATGGAGCACATAATTTTCAATTAGTTTGTCGGTTTCCTCGCATGCCATTTATACTGGAGAGGTCAGTCAAAAGATCTAATTAACACTATAAAACTGCTCAATCAAAACTTGACCCTTATTTTGTAATTCAATGTTTCAATAGAGCTTTTTTATCGAAAACTACACAATTCAAAGTTTTTCAATTAAAAAGTTATGAATTCAAAACGTTCCGTCTGTCACAAATAATAATCCAACCACCTGCTGATAAAAGGATACTTTTAATTAAAACATGGAATATGCGGTTGCTTTGTTAACGCATTAGAGCTGTAGGTAGTGAAACTTCAACATAACTGTGACTTTGCAGGAACAAAGCGGAGCTCATTTGGTACAATAGCAAGTAAGGAATGTTCTGTTCCAGCTTTGCTTTATCCACCTCCTCATTCCAGAAAAATCCCAATTAAATACTCCATCCTTGAACCGACACGGTAAACAGCTCGATAGTCGAGCCGCCATGCTATGAAAACATCCCAATCCAAAAAATTCCCTTTTTTAATAATTCCTGCGCTATTCGCATTCGTCCCAATAGCAGGATTTCTCGGTTCAGCTTCGGCAATTTCTCTTCATCCTGCTGTTGCGAAGGAGAACAGAATCTGGTGACCTCGTTCTTGGTGCCGATCAATAGCAACGACCACCCCCAGGACATGCATAGACTCGCCTGCCACCGGATCCACCCGTCGGCTCCAGGCTCCGGGTCACCGTTCTCCCTCTCTCTCACACCCCAAATCCGCCAAGCCCTTAGCGCACACGTCAGCTATTTCGTCCTTTTCCTTGAAGGGCTAAACGGCGTTGTACCAACGTCTTGTTATTTGATATAGCGGTTTTTATTAAAATTTTCTGATTTTTCAGCTTTCGAAATGTGTGCGAAATATCAAGCCCGGGTGCCCTTCAAACCTAAATTATTCGTTAGGGAGGATTTGAAACCGACCCTCCCGAAAGATGTCTTTTATTACCCTTGGTTTCATGACGAGAGATAATCGCAAAAGTGCAAATGTCACAGTTCAATTTGCGAGATTTAATGTTTAATTCAATTTCTGTTTTGGCTTTTCGCCCTGTCCTAAGTCTGATGTACGAATGCCATCAGTGTAAATTATTTTTCCCTTTTAACGTAGAGGAAACCATGTTGAGGTCACAACATGATAAATTTATACACAATTATAAAACTACACAAAGGACTCGTTAACAAAATTGCCGTCACAGAATTTACACTGTGGACGAATTTCAAATGAGAAAAACGCACAAAATAAGAGTCGTAAACCAGTTTTAATTCGTCATATTTTATTCAAAACAATCTAAAAGTGACCTACAGTGGAATAATTGTTTTTTCCAATAATACTTGAGAAAATAAAACGGAGTGTGCCAATAAAAGCTCTGGTTTTGGTTTAAAAAAAAAATTGAGCAAATCACTTGCAATTCGACTGAAAGCACAAACTCCTAATACATTTCCTTTTATATCGTCTACCGATAATCCTTTCCAATAGTATTTATCGTAACAAGCTTTCATATATCATTTTTCTCGACTTTCCTAGAGAGTGGAGATAAACCATTAGCGAATTGTGAAGTAGCAAAAAATTGTATAACCCTTAAACCGTGTTATCTAAACGCCTGCACATAAGTCAGAGTCCAAGCGTGAAATGGCCTTAGGTTTGCCCTTATAATGCCTCACACCTTTAGGTTTAAAAGAAAGTTTATGAAGCGTGTTTCAGACTTGTATTAAAATTCAAAAGCGTGGATGATTACTGCTTAAATTAATTTTTAAGTAAGATTCTGTTCATTCCGACATGACAATCGCATCAAGTAGAAAGCTCTTGGGAGCTTTTCGACGCCAACCGGAAAATTGGATGACACACTGAAAAACTGTCACCAGTTCGTTTACAACTAATCACAGAGTGGCAGTGTAGCGGTGGTAAAATTCCTTCATCACTGCCTAAATGGAAGTCGCAAGATTATCTAATCTTAATCCCATAAAAATGCCCAGGATATAGTTCATAACTGGGAAGTCATAAATCATCCTTTTATAGTTCTTAAATTGTACTTTCGCCAAATGAGATCTCTGGCGCTTTTGCACATTGGAGAGAAAATTTATGAAAAATCGCTCCACGAACAAAAGCTGCATTCATAAATTATTCAAATATAGATTTCTGGCAAGCTTTAGCAATCAGGGAAAATTGCGTACAAATTTGTTACCTCATCTTCGTAGTCGAGGTCGTTCCTTGAAGCCATTGGCACTTATCACCCAATCTTTCTGATAAAAAGAACGGTCCTCGTGACGCGATTTGTTCACTACTAAATGCAAAATTGCAAAGCGGATCTGTCGCAGGCTTGGCCCACACGGGGCACAACTAGAGATAATTACCTCAATTATCCCGCGACATTACATGCTATTATGCCATCAGAGGCCAGCAAAGACACTCAGCCATTCATACATATTAAAAAAAAAATCGAAAAAAGCTGTAAGTAATGTTATTTCATCGCACAAAGCCTAGCATTGAAATCGAGGGTCAATTCATAAGGCAGTGTCATTTTTGGTCTATTATTCGGCAGTCCAGTGACGCAATTCGCAATAAGGGCATTTCCGGTGTCGCCCCCTTAGTTACGTCACAAGTCACAAGGCTACACTATTCAACCGCTATCATGCACTTAATTCATTGAGTATAATGTGACTCATTTATTCGTTATATATGTGTTAGTAGCACAATGAAACTTCTTTCGGTTTCCTCCACTTGCCTCCTGAAATTTTTATAACAAATGGTTCCCAGTTGCAGGAAGAGGCTGATTGAGATAGGTCTTGCTTGGATTTTTGAAGATTGCTCCGGTTCTAACTTGTTAATATTAAATTAGAAAATAAGCGCAGACATAATTGAATTTGTCTGAAGAACGGAACGGATTGTTCTCATGTGTGCTAATATAATTTATTTCGCTTTTAAATTTGCCGCTTTTCCCTCTCGAATGAGCAAATTTGCCTGCCACTGGCTAAAATTAATGTAAGAATAATTGCAAGGCTGGGGAGAAATGTCGATAAAGGCTTTCGTGATATGTAAGCGACCTTGTTTGGATCGATGTTACTCGCGACCCTTTCGGCACTGGTGGCAGTCTGCAAGACGCCGTGCCAGTTTGGAGCATTCGAATTGATTATTTTGGTTTTTTTGTTTCGTATAAAAACACATCTTTGGGGATTACACGAGAGTGCTCTATAAAATTCAATGTATATTTCCTGTTTTGAAAGAAACTCGGGAGACGTTTACAATTTAATCGCTTTAAGTCGCAAATGTCGTACGTTGCATATTTGCAACAAAGTAATATATTTTTTATTCCATTGTTTCTGCTATTGCGAATACTCGTAAAATCTGTGTTTACACAAGCAATGATGTGTACATAGGAAACAATATTTCACTATTCAGTTCGTACCAGTTAAATAGTGTGAACACTAAAATAACAGGTGACACAGTAGCATGTTATTATGCAATAAATAAATCTATAAAATTAATTATCATATATTTGACAATTGTTAGAAGCATATTTTAACATAAATGAATAGATACGAGTTAAGCATATAAGATAAAAATATCCCTTAATACTAAGAGAATAATTCTATTATAATTTTCCAGTATCAGTAAGGCTTAAAAAGTGTAAGATGTGAAAATAAAATCCTAATCCGCTCTTAGATACTACAACTTAATTTATGCTACAACGAAAATTGAAGTCTGAAATTTTACCATACCTCGTGACTCATTTTATGCAACTTTCAAAAATTAAAACTTCTGAATAGATAATAGATTGAAGAGTGTTCTGAACATAATAGATTATTATTATCTTCTTGTAGAAAATATTGTACATATGATTATAAATGTTTTATAAATTTCTATAAATTTTCTATGAATTTTTATAAGACTCACAATTTTCAAAGTATGGTATCGTAAAGTGTTATTTGCTTATTAATTATAATTGAGTAGTGAGTCCGGCTAGAACCGGTCTGAGACCCAACTGCCTTTTTTTCAACTTCACTTTGCTTACTCAAGGTCTGCATTATCTTCAGCATCTGCTGATTTAAACTGATTCATATTAAAAAAAAAACGAGTCCCGTCCCGATATAACTCGAATATTTCCACATAATACACTTTCCCGCGCTAAGCAGTTTTTGACAAATACATCTTCCATTCAGCTCATGGTACGAAACTAAAACCACCTAAAACATATTAACAATTTTAGCAATTTTTCATTGGCAAAAACATGTCAACAGAACATCTGTGTACAAAAAAAAAAGACTCATTGCGAGTAATTTGATATTTTTCTTTACAAGAGACGCTCATTAGACGAGTTTTCTGGTTTATAAATAAATGGATTAAATTGATATTAACGGCTTAATTTCAGCAGGAATCTGAAACCCGAGAAGAGCATTAGTCATAGGTGATAATTAATTCAACCAACGACACACCTCTTCTTAATTATATAAAAGGAATCGATTTTAATGCAAAATTCACTTAATTATTCCCTTGTTTAATCAAACGTTATAGTTTAATTCAAAATTTATAAGTAATTAGGGCGTTACACCTGTTGTCATGTTGGCATCTCATGCAAATTGACAACAAAAACATTGAATAGGCGTGGCCTTGGCAACCAAAATAACAGACGAACAGCCGTTATCTTATCAGGTAAGATGATTTACAACGTGCTCATACAACAATGCAATTAATTACGATTTCAACAATTACAGTCAAATTTCATGAATCACGGTTAAAATAATAATAAAAAATTAAATTTCACTCACCTCTTCCTTCATCTCGCTCTTCAAAGCCATTACATTACAACAACCTGGCCGCACAATGTGGCAAACACTGAGAACGAAAAAACAGGTGTGCGGTTTTTTAAATACGAGGTTGTGTAATCATCTATTACGTAATTAGGCTAACTAATCGGCGTTTTTGATGTGACTAGTAATCATTTTTCTAGAGAATTCCTGTATTTACTTTAATTTTGTTCAGAATTTTGTTATTTAATGAGAGATGGTTGGCGACATTGTTTAAAGGCTTTGCCCGCCAATTTTCAAATAACGAATTTATTTCATTTTTTTTTTTGTTGATTTTTGGGAAATGGGAGTAATACAGCACAGTTCTTTGAAATTAATTTTTAATTTTCCATAATGAAATGTACACCTGGGACTGTATTCCTCAAATAAACGGGAAATAATATTAAAGCATTTTTACTTCCAAGTGATATACAGGCGCTAGATCTAAAATGTTCTATATACAGGCTACGAAAGGTTTGGTTTAAAAAAAGTTATAGCACATACAGTTAATATATTATTTGGCATATAAAATATCATTTCTTTAAGCTAACACTTGAAACTTCTATGTAAAAAACCTGCAGTATATTAACGTTACTGAAATATTTTGTGTCATATACTTAAACCATTATCAGATTAATTTTGACTTCAAACCAACTTATATTTAAACATACAAAACTCTCAATAAAGGTCATCAAAGTTAATAAACATCATTAATAACGTCTTATTTATAGAAGAAACATCAAAATTTAAATCTATCCAGTTGAAAGATTTAAACCGTTCATACTATCAAAACTTAAGTGACAACAGTACTAATCAGATGATCTATGACTAGGGAAATATCATAACTTAATGTGCAATGACGATGTAAACAAATTTATTACAATGAATCTAGATAATCACAACATGAAAATTAAATGCAGTAAGTCAAAAATGAAACATTTAATAAATATCAATGAAGAAACGATAACAAAAACAACAGTTACATTTATTTACACGTAACAGGATTTTCTTAAATCCTATAAAAAGACGATCTCCCTCATTTCACAAACCAAACTGCTGCATTTAGAAAAATTGTTGTTTTTGTTTCACATCTCCCGTGTTGATTATGTAAATGGCACTTAAATATAACTTCAGTGCATCTAAATTAATAAAAAAGAAAAAAATCAACAGTAACATTAGTAAAAAGGTTAGATAAAATTAACACGTTAAAAGCCATAAGTGACTATATATAGGCTATATACAAAATCAAGTTTCTCGTTTTTAGATCCTTATGACATCACATTGTTTTTGTAAAAATTCAAATCAAACAAATTCAAGAACTAACCTACTCTCTTCTTTACGTCGAAATAATTAAGCTTAAATAACATGTGCTAGTAGTGATAATAAAAAGTCTCTTTTAGGAAGATGTAAGTAAACTTTCCTTGGACTAGCTCGTTGCTGAATTTTTTGGGCTTGTTGGTACAGACGTTGTATTTTGTTGAGACCTGCTGATGTACAACCTCAACAATTTTACTTTGCTTCCCGACAAGCAAGAGATGTAAGGGGCCAGTCGGTCTTCTCCCACGGCTTTATACAACGCAACCATACAGAAAATCGAACTTTTACGTACGGGACTTTCCGCATGATCCGTACCCTGAATACAAAAAAACTCGTTAAAAGGCCTACTTAAACACCACCCACAAACCTTTATTAACCCTGGCATTATCTGACCCAAATGTTCATCGGTGACGTCTTCGGGATTCGCCTCTATCAGTTTGGTGAGCATTTTAATAGCCCCCAATATTGGAGGATATGGACTGGTCTGGATCCAAGACGCTAATGTCATCACAGTCGTGTTGAAGGGACAAACGACCATTGCGGCCGCAGTCTGTTCAGCCACTTTCACAACCTAATGATTTTATTAATCACATTTACTTTATTTGAATATTTATAAATGAAAAACAGACCTCTTTTCTCTCATCGCAGTGAGCGGTTAAAACCTTCAATGTGAGCAATTCTACGAAACTAGACCAAGAATCTTTCATTTCCTTGCTTTCAAAAATAGCACGCAAAATCTCTAGTACAGTTATTCTGATATTCATGTCTTTCTCGTTCAAGTTATCTATCAATAAACGAAGTAATTTCCTACGAAAAAAAAGTATTATTTTTAGAAATCAACAACAAAGTAAAAATTACTTAAAATTCTGTATAATAGCTTCAGTCTGGCCTTGTTTAATCATGTTAATAAGTTGAGATAATAACATTCTTTTGTCTTGAATGGGTGTTGGATGGTCAACAACACACTTTTCCAAAATATTTTTAATAATATCAGTGTCTTTCCACTCTCCTAAGCTTTTGTAACCGTTATAATCACTTTCTGAAATTCCATTAACTGAAGTAAAGGGTGGTAAGGACCTCGGCCCTGATCTCGAATTAAAATTCGCTCTAATATTCAATTCTTCCATCCTCTCTTCCAAAATTCCTATATCATTTTTAAGATCATTCCCTACCGACATTTGCGAAATACCCGAATCTTGTGATGTAGTATCCCTATCCCTATCTAATTTAGAACTTAACGTTTCGTAACTGTAATTTTGTATTTCCGCTGTTGTTTTCCTCAAACTCCTGTAAATCTCCTCCTGATCCAACCCCTCCCGCAACGGGGGCGTCCCCGGCGATAGAGTTTTAGGACTTGCGTTCACAGACGGACTTCCCGGCTCACTCCCCGTCGAATTTTTGCGCATATGATTGTGCACTATATTCCTCGCAACATCCTGCAACTCCTTCGGCAATTCCGACAACATCATCGTCATTAACGGCGTGTTACAATTCCACATCGCCACAATACAAATCTTTGCCGCATTCCTCAACTCCACCGATTTGGTATCTTGCGTGAAAGCAATAATTTTTTGCAATGCCTGATTGGCTGGTGGCGCCCCCGTCAACTGACTCCCATCGGCCGAATTACACAGCGCCGTCAAAAACGTCAACACCACTGTTTTGACTTTAGTATTAGGTGTTTGTGTGGCATCGGCCAGGAATCTGTAAACGTTGGAGATGAGCAAAGGAGTCGGGAAATTCGCTCGGATGATATCCAACGTCGCCATCAGTTTCGACTGGACGGAATTGAGAGTTTCCGTTCCGATTTTGACGAAAACTCGCTGAAGGAGGACATAGACCCAATTGTGGAGTTCGTTTTTGTGCATCTTAATCACCTCGTGAAGGGTGTCAAGGAAAACGCTGAGACCCTTCGTGTGCGAATCCATAAACATTTTTGTGAAGATTTCGGTGAGATGTTTGAGCTCACCGGGGGTTAATGGGACTTCCGAGCTGAGGTAGTGCTGCAAGGACAGCAGGCCGTCTTTGCGCTCCTGCCACACAGTGCTGGCGCACAGCACTATGATCTCGTTGATGTCCTGGAAATGGGCTAAATCACATAACTGGCAAGGACGGTACATATCACTATTAAGCGCTGGAAGGGGAATAGGACGTGAATATTATCTCTTTGAACGTGCTTAGAAAAAAGAGATAAAAGTCAAAAATTAGGTGTGTGAAGTGTCAAACTCAATCGGCAGTGACGGACGTAAAAACTTCCAAGTACCACTTTATTGGAATTATCAAATCCACTGAAGCCAAATCTTTCTGCCGAAAGGTGTGATACTTTTTTAAAATTCAAAATAATGCAATATTTGCTCTACGCTACTGATGAAAAAGCAATTAGTGGCCCAAAACCCCCGCAAAGAAGCCTATAAAATAATTAAACTGCATGCATATTAACAAGTGTGAGAATGACGTTAAAACTACTTGAGTTCGTAAATTACTTACACGGCAGGGTTCCCACAATTCCCTGCTTGATAGTCTTTGTTGTGAACCGCTCCATGAGTATGACTGATAAAAAATTATACCATTTTATCATAAGCCCAACAGAAACATAAAAAACACATAAATTTCCACAATAATAAGCACAACAGATCAGGCAACTGAGAAAAACCAAAAGTAACTTACATCACTTGGTCGTCTGAAAGAATCGAAAGAGCGTTCAGAACATACGCTAGAGGTCTCTGACTCATCAGAGTGATTATCTATCGATCTCATAGCTTTCCGGGGGCTCCTATAATGATCAGTCGAGTCGTTTTGCTAAAAAAATCACCATTATTCGAGCAAAATCCAATCAGTGTTTTAACATACGAAAACATCAGCTAACGCATTTTCGGCTTCTCGACTCTGTTGCAGTATTTTCTGTGCTAAAACCGGCCTGGATGCCGGACTTAAAGGCGGCCTGTCACTACCCCGTCTAAACCTCCCCAAAGTCGAACGATTCGGACTTGTTTCCCGCGAAGTGTCACGTGAGCCAGTTGTAGATCTTGGAATACCCGATGATAGTCTGCGAGGTCGTGGAGAATCATGTTCGGTACTACGATTGTACAAATAGGCCAGTCGAGAACTCGGTGAACCGGATCTACTAGTCGCTAAAATAATCCAATTAATCTCGAGTTGCCGACAAAAATTGAAAAAATTACGTTGTGATTGCGAATTCCTATTTCTGGTGCGTCCCAAGCGTTCAGGTGATTGTGTGGCTGTTGTTTCTGGGGTTTTTCGTGGGCGTGCTGTTGTGAAAAAATCACTATTAAGTCACGACACTTTTTTTCGGTTATCAAGTTATTGTGTTAATAAAATGTTAAATACCTTGTTGCGCAACCTCTCCCTCTACAGGCATGGAAAAAAGCAACAAATTAGTTTAGCAAATGGACTAAAAACACTCCTAAAACTAAATTACATTAACACCTACATGTATTAATCGCTAATTGCAACTTGAATTAGACAACAATGTTGTTGAAATTATTTTTATTGTTGTTATTTTATGCGGTAACATGAGAAAGCAGGCTAATATCCTTCCAGTAAGAACTTACGCAAACTAGCCGTTCCAGATGCTATTTTATTGCGAGCCATTGCGGCATATTGGGACCGAACTTTTGCTCTTTGTGCTGCTTGCAAATCGATTGCCGAATTGCTTCGAAAACCTTTACGACCAGAATCTGAAAATATCCCAAATGTCACATCAACACAAAAAAAGAAACAAACAAAAAAGTGAGGACGGATAATAAAACGAAACACCATTAACGTACTTTCTTTTGATAAAACTGGTATACCACTACGTTGTCTGTAGCTTCGGGGCAAAGAAGGAGCCCTATGAAGGCCACTACTAGTACCAGAAAGGTTTTCTGTACTGCCTTGAGTATCCAAAATGCAGCAAAAAAAATCAACAATTTTAATTCATACAATAAACATTACAAATAACATCTACAATAAATCATACTATTTAATTAATTTCACACAGTCACAATAATTTTTGTTCAGTAAAAAACTCAATACACAATGTTTATTCTCTAATTGGCTACACTACACAATTTTACAAGCACTAAAATTTTTAATTACCTGAGAATAACCTTGTTTATTGAAATTGTAACTATTAAGTCGTTTGTAAAACAGCAATAAAATAATTTCTCCAATAAATAAATTAATTTTCCTTTTTATGTCGAACATTTTTCAAAAGAACTTCCAGCACAATCAGCCGTTGTGTAATATTTGTTTAATATTTTTTATTATTTATTCATCAAAATTCGCAAATTGAAATGTCAAAATTGAAATATTACTTCTCTTTTGGTATACGTGGAAAGTAGTCTATATAAATGAGCAAAACCACATTTTTACTCTTTAATTGAATAATTTAATGAATCCAGTTTTGTAGTATTGATTAAATTATTGAATGAAACAATGGAAAAACTTTATTTATTATAAACATTAAAAGTAATTACAGTTAATTATTTAACATAAGTACTGTTAAAGGATATAATTTATTAAAACGGTACAATCAAGAAGTCATAACGTTTTTTTAGAGCTGTAACCGTATTCTTGTCAGTATTCATTCAGTTATTTACAAATAAAATAAACTTCGAGTAAATAAAACCCAAATTTTTATAGCGCAAATCATAAACTTTGTTGATTACATTTTAATTCCAAATTGGAAACAAAGAAACGGTTTTTCCCTATTCGTCAGCATATTTCGTAGCACACCTATTTTTAGATATCGATTTGAAATAATTTCTCACCCTACCCGAAATAATATAAATTTATGAGCAAAGAAAACCAACACAGCAATCCGATATATCAACCTACACTTCAATCAACCTTTCCGTTGTTTGATAACCATCAGAGATAGAATTTTTTCCAATAATATTTGCCTCAAATAACCCACCTGTTGCACTATGCGGCGTTGCAACGTTGCGTCCGTAAGTCCTCGGTGTCTTAAATCCACTAGTTAGATTATTATTAGAAGAACTGGTTGACATTCCATCTCCTTGTAACGCTCTTCTGTAACTAGGTTCAAGAGACTGTAATAGCGCTTCGGCTTGGTCTGGAAAGTGCTCACGAAAACCGCGAAAGGCCCTAAAACTCACACAATAATCCCCAAAGTTGCGTTTCACACAAAACTCACTTTCGAGATGAGACTCTGGCATCGGGATCCGCGTCGGCGACCCCTTTCTTCACCGCTTCCTGCAACGCAGCCACGTGTTTTTCCAAAGAATGTATCGGCCAATTATTTAAAATATAATCCAAAAACTCGCAACAATACCTACGAATTTCTTTGCTTTTCGACGTGGCTGCGTGCGTTGTAATTATAGGAAGGAGTCGCGGACTTTGAATATTCTGGATAATAAATCTTAAAGTAACAATCCCCGACGTAGACATAATCTACAAAACAACACGTTCTAAAAAAGCACCACACAAGCCGACTCTTTACCTTTGCCGAATTCTGGATTAAATTTATTAACGGCAACATCAACATTTCAGCGGTTCGATCGAATTTACTACCCAAAATCTGTGCCAAATAAGCGATCGTGATGCAACCTTCTCGCACGACTTGCGATCGCAAATCTTTAATTATTGCCTGAAGAGGAATGTCCAATTGCTTAAGACCCTGATAGAATTCTTCAAAATTCATCGCATCAGCTATTATCAATGATCGGATTTTTTTCAACTGGAAAATGCTGCTTGTCTCTATGTTTTATCTAGCGGAAATGAACTTACAGCGTCGACTCGCTTGTTCCATTCCTTGCCTGGATCAGATATCGTATCATAGATATTTTTCATGTGGTCAGACACTTCTCGAGGTGAAAAAATTCGAACTTGTGGAACGTCCTCGAAGGATCTTTGGAAGGTATCCTCATCCATGCTGCCCGCCGAGGCAGCTAAAAATTTCAATGTAAGACACATTTATGATTTTTGGGGTGAAACAAAAGCGTGAAAAAATTCTATGTGTAACACACAAAAAACTTCCAAAGCTTAAAAATTTAGAATACGAAAAATCATAATTTCAAACTTAACTTCTTAAATTTCCAGTTTTCTAGGCGGATTAAAGCATCCCAGAAGAGGATTTAAAATAAATTCCGGTTTTTTAAACGTTACAAAATTGATTGAAAACTATCAATGCTGACACAAAAGCAACAAGTATACGCAGAAATAAGCAAAATAAACCCTATATTTTTCTTAAATACATACCTTCCAAATTTAAATAACAATTATCAGATGTAAGATTCAAAATCATAATTTTTATCGCAACTACGAGTATAAAAGATTAAATTAAAATCAAATTGTTTCTCCGATAATACCGAATTAATCAATAAATTAAAAATGACAAAACAATAAAAGCTTGTTCGATTGTGAACCGTAGTTTCGTGTGAGTTAATAAATGGTTTCCTCACTCAAACACCCTCCCACAAGAAACGTAAAATTTTTGTAAATGACATTTTAGGCAGCATTGCGTGTTTGTATTTTGTGCTATTGATCACAAAAAATAACAAAAATGATGAAAGCAATTCCAGAATTAATTTACATTTTTACAAATAAATCTCCACGGAAATTTAAAACTTTTAACAGTTATTTGTCACGGCTAGCTGAACCGTTTCTATAATCACACGGTATCATTTGAAATACCAAAGTCTTGACGTGCATTTAAATTTAAAAAAATCACTGGAGAGGTCGTCTGAAGTTCGCCTGTTGTCAACACAATAATAAGAAAATTCTAATTTGCATTTGCCCTTGTTTTCCAATTTTTTAATTGTTTATTCGAACTTCAAAAAAGTCATCAAAACCTACGCAAGAATCGATTTAATAATTAGCTCTAAATACCTATGTTATTTTGTATCGACGTTTCTACGCACTTCCTATTTTTTACAAACCGCAATTCACGCTTTTGTTGCAAATATTTGCATATGTAGTAAAAAATAATTAATGATGATGTCAATGATGTAAAAATAAATGTAAACTTACATGAAACAGGGAGCTTTCTCAGGGAACCCACTCTGCTTAAAACTGTTCATGCAAGAGAAATTAATGATGAAATAAAGAAAAACAAAAGCATTAAAATAAATTACATAAGTTAATGACAGAAAGATGAAACAAAAAAAAAATTTTGGTAATTCCTTGAAAAAACCTCACCAGCACTTCCGCCACCCGGCGCCGTGAGTGTCCTCGGCTTGACACCGCTTCCAAGATTCGCCTTCTTGGCTGGAACCACCGGTTTTTGCATCACAGCTCTGTCTATTTCATCCGCACAATCTGCAAAGTTACGAGAATTAATCCTCCTCCTAATTATAAATATAGAAATACTAACAATCGTTCCTAGTCGCTGTCAGGAGCAATTCCCCACTATCTTTCACTTCATCAAACCTCGCAGACAATGCCTGCCACTTAGCCGGAGGGACAATATTACGCCTTTGCAAGTCCACCCTCAGTTTCTCGCCGACGTGTTTATATAAATCAACCAATGTAGTAAACGCTGTATCCCTCACCGTCGACGTTGGATCCGACAAGAGTTTAACAATGTCGGGGATGAAGCGACTTATCGTCAACGATTGGGCCCCGTGTCTGCCAAAATAAAAAAAATACAGTCGAGGGAAAACCAATGGGGCACGAAATTACTCGTTGAGCGTGTTAAGGAGACACCGTAGGACTTCCTCTCTGATTTTGGCGTTTTTGTGCGTGAATCCCGGAGTGAGCTTTTCGAGGAGAGTTTGCGGGGTGAGGACGTTACGTTCTAACAGCTTCAAGATCAAAAGTTGGGCTTTTTCGCGGACTGTGTCTTTGGCGTCGCCCAATCTGTCTATCACGTTTGGTAATACTGTTTGTAGGTACGGTCTGAAATCAGTCCCTAGCCTGTCTATCAAGTATGTCATAACTTCAATGCCATTGCTGGAGACCTGCGAAAAGTTTTGCGTCATAGGTCGAACAATCGGCGAATTTAATCTATATTTAGAAAATTGTCCATCACACCCAAAGAGAAACAATAAGATATTATCAATTAAACCTTCTTACATCAGTAGTTTACATAACGAGAGACTTGAACAATAAGCATGGACAACTACTGCTTGCTTGAATCTGCTCTAATGGTTGCACCTTATGATCTATAAATACTTATTCTATTTACGTTGAAGAGACACTCTGAGATTTAAAAACTCAGTGCATTTATCCCAGGCCAGAGGTAGAAACAAGACCAACAAGTGATTCTGCACAGTGCACACGAAACGAAAATATGAGGCTATTAAATGCGAGAAAAGTGGATGGTATTAATAACAGCACATTTTCTCGGACGGTTTAATTAAAGACCTCGACCTCATCGGGTTAATTGATTTTTTTTAATCAAAATTCAATCGTGCCAGGGCAAAATTTGTGTGTATAAAAATGTCCCAAACTGTTTACAACCTGGATGACGTAAACAATGTGGGCTAGCATAATATTATGCTAGCGACATATTCAGGTTTTCTGTGAAAATAATGGTCTCATTCATAAAAAATACCAAGTTCTGTTAATTCAAGATCAACGACCCCAAGGAGAATGTCAATCTTAACATTGGCACCACTAGCAAATTTATTCGTGGTAATTCTAATAAAAGAAGTTGACAGTTTCGATTTTTAATTTAAGTAAATAGTACCAGTTTTTGAAAATATCAAAGAAAAACAACAGAAAAATTGACGCAATTTGTATAGACTTTTGCTAAACATTCTCTAATTTATAGCAAGAAATTGATGAGAATATGAAATAAACAATTTTGTAAAACAGGCTTTACAGTGACCTGACCATCAGGAGCCTCACGTGAACATCGGTGACGTTAATTGACAGTGGGATTACTACATCTAAGGGCCGTTTTACAACAAAATGACCTTGTTGTCCGTTTTTTTTACCGGCAAGCGAAATAATTTGAGGTCAGTAAAGAGTTTGAACTCTCTTATTTTCTTTTAAAAAATACTTTTATATAGAAATCTACTTACATCTATCAGCAATTCAGCAATTTGTCTTTCAAAGTTAATGTGAACAAAAACAAGAAGTTTCGATAACAGAGACCACAAAATATGTGATTACTCGTAAGATTTGGACATTGAGGACAGCACAGTGGTGCGAAACCTCATTGGCTGCGGTCTATTCGGCAGTATTTAGCAATGACGTAGTAAATTATAATTATTGTATTAAGTAAGAAAATTTGTGTGAATATTATTAATTAAGCGTGTATATACAGTTATCTTTCAATTCAAGAGACATTAAAAAAGAATAAATCAGACAAAGCAATACTTCGAATTAATGCATTCACCTGATGGCACAGCGGATTACCCGCTAACCTTGATTCCCTTACTGCATCCCAGGGCTTGACTGATTAGTGGCTAGATAAAAAGGGTAAAATGTAATGAATGAGTAATGAGTTAATGAATTATCTCCGAAACAGTGAGGTATTCTAACGCTTGAGTCTATCACTACTCCGAAAACTATCTCTTTGTACAAAAAATTAACTGGCATCTTTAAAAAAATACATTTTTAATAATGCAAAACACTTGAATTCACCAACTTTTTTACGAAAAATCTGCCTATAGTATCATATTGTCGAACACATTGCCGAGTGTCCAGTAGAAGGCAGAATAAAATGTTTTTGTATAAAGTTACTAAAGTCGCGGTCAATTCATAGTGGTCACTTCCCTGTATTTTGTAAAACTTAAATTTATAAATTTTTGGAACAAAAAATACAAAATCTAGTAACTTTATTATTGTAATGATAACTTATTCTCAAACAACAAACCTCGAGGTAAAAACTGAAAGTAAATAAATTCTTACAAACCTAGTTTTCCAAGATGTGACAACTGTCAATGGAATGACATGACTCAAATAGTAAATAAGGCAATCGATAAAAATAATAGTTATTTGTATTACAATTGAGGAAAAGACACTTTCCTCCAGTGTAATACATATAATTTTTCCTAAAATCCAATATGAAAAACTTCAAAAATAACAATTTTTCTTGATATCCTAGTTTCGCCATTAAATCTAGCAGCATGTTTTTCCGTTTCTATGGGGGAGGTAAAAATTAATTAATATAATTAATGAAGAAGGAAAAGTTTTACCTCCCTGGTAGGTACTCGTAACTCACTACTTTCCTTTCCGAAATTAAGATGGAAGAACTTACTTTCTGTTAGGATAGCCAGTTTCTTTCAATTTAATTGCGATCTTTGATCCATAGTGGAACAAAAAAATTTTATTGATAATTTTTATAGCAAATAAGACGCTTCTTAAAAAGATTCTATAAAAGTCACTAGGTTTTAAAAGATGTTACTTTTCTTATTTACAAAAACTGTACGAAATAAAGAGCTAAAAGTTTTCACACAAAAAAATTATTAGCAGAACGTGAGGTTTCCAAACTGTAATATTTCTTATGTCAGGTAGTATATTAAATTTATTCAAATGATAGTTTTTGTTGATTAGGAATTTTGATAGTCATGAACACAATCGGCATTATACAGGGTGTTTACAAAATTTTACGAGGCCTGCACCTGTAAGATGCAATCAATAATACATATTCCGGTACAAACTCGATTACAAATTTAGAAAAATTGGATAATCTACTCTAGTTTGTTTACTCTTTCAAAAATTACGTTTTTAATTAGTTAGTGATTAAGATAGATACTAGAATCTAGAATCATATTCATGCCATCTCTTGATAGAACAAATGATAATTGTTTATGAAAAACTGCATTTTAAATGAAACAGTGATTAGTTTGACAACTACTGTCATGGGTTTCCAAAAATTAAATAATTAAATGTGTATTTTGTGACTTTTGTCTATTTGGGTGCGTACAATAGGCGCAAGCCTCGTAAAGTTGTGTGAAACACCCTGTATAGTTTACAATTTATCATAATAATGAGAAAACCAATGTATCTCATCAGATAAGGAGAATTTTAATGTTCTTCAGGTATTGAGTGGCATTAAATTTTGTGAAATTTATTAGAAAAACCGGAACAGCCAACTTCGGTTGTAAAAAATTACCATAAATGAATTTGCTAGTGGTACCAACGTTAAGACTGTTTGACAGTAAGGTTTTTGTAATTTTTATTTCAGGTAAATAGACCTATTCTACGTAGGCACATTTGTAAACTCCCTGCTCAGAACGCTTAAAATGCGTAAAATAAAAAATACCAACGGTTTGATCTGCTTTGATGAGTAGGATCTACCTCTGAAAAAGCGAGACTGGGCTCTTTAGAAATTCAAATTAGTCGTGTTTTTCGCTGGGTGTTGACAGCCCCCTGGAAAAAAGAGCCGACACTCACCTTATAATTGCTGCTTTGCATCCAAGGTATCAGCCCATCGATGAGCAAGCCAATGTCCTGGCAGCAAACGGAATTTGAAGGCTCCGCCAGGAAGGCCAAGAGATCGGTCCCAACCTGCAGACGAAACCTCGTGTCTGCTTTGGACAAATGGGGGATGAACCCATCTAAATCTTTTGGCAAAGAATATGCCATATTGCGGCTGTCCTGGAAGAAAAGAAAAAAATGCCGGCATGTTTTCGTTTGCGCAAATGAATTGATAAGTATGTGTTTTTAATAAACAAATGTTTAAAGTGTAAAAGTGATGTCACCTGATATGGTTATAAATGTAATAACTTGTTTGACACACACGACATGATGCCGTAATAATTCTCGATTTACAGTTAAATCAAAGTGGTGATGTTAAAAATAGCAAAGTAAAAGTGTGACCCAATCGTCACATGGTCGTTAATTAAATAATAGGGCTATTTACAAAGAAGTAAATTAAAAAACTATACAAATAATGCAATGTCAAATTCAAGTCTGCATATAAGGATCGTGTCCTTCGCGAATAAATCAAAATGCTTTAAAATAGAAAGCAGCAAACAAAAATAAAATGTTCTTTGAGTGAGACACAATAAAACCGATCTGTAAAGTGTTCAACAAGCGCTCGTCTGAGAAGAAATCAGAAACAAACTCCTTTTTTGTGAGGAAAACGTTAAAAGAGGTTGTGCGTAGGTAGAGTCCAATTTTTCAGCAACTTACTTATCAAGTTTTGTATAATTTCATGGAAAAACACCTCTAATGATGCACTAACACAATAAACAGTACTTTCGACGCTAAACCACTAATAAACTAATTTTGGGGGCTTTCTCACGCCGCCATATTCCTTCCACAAAATGACAGATTTGACAACAACCGTCAAACACAGAATTTACCGGCTTTTCGTCCACTGCGCGCCATCTAGCGGCAACGCGTAAAAAATAGTTAAGATTTCAATTCTTTTATTTTCAGAAAATTACAAAAAATAATTAATAAATCATATGTGCTAAGCTCCAATTTTGCTTCACATGCACTAGGTCATCAACAACGGCACCGTCAGTTTCATCGATTGTTGCAATTTGATATTTAGGATAACTCCTGGCATCTCTGTAATACAAAACTTCCATACATTTTTCCACAAGAGCCCTGGCTTCGGCTTTGCTTGGAGCCGGATTCTTCTCTAGTGCATCTCTTAAAAGCGGAACTACAATGTATGCTCCATAGCCAGAGCACACGATTTTGTCTGCGTAAGCGGTTCCTAATTTATCTACAGTTCCTAGGAAAGGTTCCCCGTCTTGGAGTCCCCCCACAACAAAGTTGTTCCAGAACGGATCGAATTTGCTCCTGCGATTATACATAATTCTAGTCAACCAACAATAAAGAGACTTTGGTTTCAGTTTGAAACCATCATCTAAACAATCCTCATCAATACTATAAAAAATTGTTTTAGTCATACATAAAAACAATAAACTTTGTTACATTTTTTGGTCAATTATGTCCTTGACGTACTGAAAGTCGGCATAATCGCCTCCTGCCCCCAAAATTATATTATCATTAACCTTCATGATTCTTGGACAATTTCTGTATCTCGCCAGAGATCCATAAGAAACCAAAAGGTCGCCTGCAATTATAACCCCCTTGTTGTATTGCATGGCTACTATGGATGTCGCAGTGGTGACAGGAGCCCTACAAACACAAATATTAGCTAGTCACCCCAATAAAGACAAGTTGAACTTACTGTGAATGTTGTCTAAAGTCACTAGGGACAGCTTTAGGGCCTGGAAAATTGTACAGACCACCAGGAGTTGGGCCATTGTGCCAGAACGGAGGTGGATTTCCAGTCGGACCAAACATTTCTACTCTTATTTAAAAATCAACTGAGACACCGAATGACTTTACAATTAAAAATTGACAGCAAAATGACAGACGGCGACGCTACATCAATACTTACAAAACGAAAGTCCCTAAAGAGAATCTAGACAGAACCGTAATTAAAAAAATGTTTTAAATATGAAATGCATTTTTTTTCAATAAAAACAAAAATTACAATTTTTTGAAATGATGGAAACGCTGTTGCCTCAACTAAAAATGATTTTTCCATTCAATTATATTTGAATTATTTTCATTTATATTAACAAATCATTAATTACTTCCCTGTTGAGATAAGCATAACCCTCCAGTGTTGCCACTGTCTACTATGCAACTTCATTTTGTAAATATTTTGGTACTTCCCGGTACTCCTTTACATTTGTGACAGTATTTGACATTAAAAGTGTGTCTGTGATAAACAGAAAATTCAGAAGTTAATTTTGTACAGAAATGTCTATTTTACGTTTCATAGTTTCGTTCGTTTACTCGTTGGCAGGAGTATCCGGGTTTGGGGCGTTTATCATCCTTAAGAATTATGCAGCTGCCATATTTGCCATTATAACAGGTAATTTTTTAAGGTTTAAAAAAAAAAAAAGGAAAAAGTGATCGCCCAACGTGGGGCTCGAACCCACGACCCTGAGATTAAGAGTCTCATGCTCTACCGACTGAGCTAGCCGGGCTGTCGACGATAGATTTTCGATGACTGTACGTGACTAACACTACAACCATTTGAAAACAATACCTTGCAAGGAATGTTTTTATAATGTTATCTTATTTTAGGTTTTATTAGTATTATTACAAGCCATATACATTTCTTGAATTTTAAAAATAAATTAGAAGACTGGTATACACCTCAACATTTGCGTCAAATGAGTTCCTTTGGTATTTATTGTTTTGCAATTAGTACTTCAGCTTTAGTTTATTTTTCTGTTATTGAAATAATGGAAAAAAGGCGTAAGATATTCAAATTGCATTTTTTTTTGGCTACATAATCAAATTTTTCAGCAATAATGCCAATTGAAAACAGTGCTATAATTCCACTGATTTGGTGCTTGATTACATTAAAAAGTGGGTTGATTTTGGCCTACTTTGGAAGGCTTTACAGTCGTAAAACCGATCACATATCCGTGACCGAAGAACCCACCCCCGAACCAAATAATGAAGAGGTTGAAGAAATTACACCGTAACAAGATCTTATGTTTTAATGCTCAATAATTTTAAAATCCTGTTACAGTGCTGTGTTATTTTTATAATGAATTAGATATTAACGACGTGTTTTTATAAAATGAATAAAGAAATAAACCAGTAAAACGTCTTTTTTGTGTTTGTACCAACGCTGGTTGAAAAAACAAATTGGAATAAATGTCATTCTCTTTTATGCATTCCCACTTTGTCCCCCTTTTCCTAATGGGTTAAAAACCACTTCCGGTGCTTCTGCAGCAGCTCTTGGGCGCACAGACCCATGCAGATTCAGGCTACAGTACCATTACGCCACTGCAAAGTCCCGTAAAAACTGTATTTGTCAGGTAACGCTACGTACGTTCGCTCACCTGGCTCACAGTTTAATCCCAACACGGTTTAAGAATCGCAACACCAAACGAAAATGCACGATTTTTCAAAATTCACCAGTGTCCAGTGAGAAAATTTTGAAGCTTTGGACCTACAGGTAAGTCAGTACTTTTTATTTTATCAATTTGTGAAGTTTACGCTTGAAAGATGCTCATCTTCAGAGATCAGTAGTTGCCTCTAGTTACAAGAGTGATTTACTGAAAATATTGCTTTGATATTATTATTATTAGTGGTAATTGTCATTGGGGCTTTGGCTATAAGTTCAAAATGAATGTGTTTGGATTCGAAGCGTTATTAGTAACGCATGAACGATGAGCAAATTATTATCGACTGCGGGAGATGCAATGACTCTTCATCAAAGCAAATGCAATGATTTCCTCCTAATTACGCTTTTGGTATTCGGTGGCTACTGAAAAGCGATTTATCTGTGATTTGCACTTTAACGTGCTCGTTAATCAGAGCAAATTATTTAATTAAAATGAAAATAAAATGAACTTTCTTCATTGTTCGGCAGCAATTACGAGGCGCGCATCGCACACCACTTGTCACTTTTCGCATAGCTCTTTTCACTTTTTGTTATCAATTCAAACGATTTCTTTGTATGCAAATTATTCAAAAATCTAATAGATTCTTGTTTCGGATGCTGCGTTTCTTACATAAACGCTCCGCTAACGTTACGTTAGAATATGCAGTGAGTGAAGATAGCGGTACAATCGAGAGGAACTATTTGGTTATATCAGTACTGAGGTCATTATAGCAAGGTCAACCACTTCTAGGATGGACATAATTTGATTTTTAACCAATTTGTCTGGGTCACTATGTAAGCGCATCGTTATGGATGAAATCCAACACCATAACGGTTATTCCAATTCCATCCAAATTTTTGTAACAGTGGAACCTTCGCATACGAAATTAACCAATTATTTCGTTTAACTTTAACCGTTCACTGCACCAGAGAGAAAACGTTAATTTCTACTAAACATAAAATTAACGTGTGAATCTTAAACAATGATAAATGATAATTACCATAATACAGTTCAAAGAAATTCTGAAAGATTGCCATCACATTTTCTTTCAGATCAGTTGAATGATGACACCGCTCCGGTTATGTGCTATCTACTGCTTCTTCATTTCTATTTCTTCAACCAATTCAGCGTTTCCTCCAAGCCTGCGATATCCAATACCGATTTCTGTCAACAAAATCACTGCTGCTAACTTAACCTGCGATGTAAGAAGTTTCAACGCCACTGTTACCCTCCAACACCCATTCAAAGGCCTTCTTTTTGCCAAAGATTTTTCACACGAATGCAACGTCCTTGGTAAGTAGCAAGACTCCAAATTGATCCCAAATGTAACAACACTTTTTACAGGAACTTTATCAAACTCTGTCACAATAAATCTCCCAACTTCCGGTTGCGGAATTAGACTAAGTTCACGAACAAACGAAAGAGGAGAAAAAGAAATGGTGTATAGTGTTGTTCTGGTGGCACAACAAGACCGCCATTTACGCCAAATTGCTGACCAAGAAAAATACCTCGAGTGCATAATCAAAGACGACGCTTTTCTCATCGAAAGTCAACCCGTGGTTGAGGTCTTGAAGAACGATTTACTCGAGCGAAGAGGCAAAAACCAGCGGAGTGGCCGAATGAAAAAGGAGCAAACCGAGGACTTGGAACACGAGTTGCGGGAAACTTTGAAAGCTTCCCGTGCCTGGATGGAAATCACTCCGGAAGAAGACTTGTCAAAATCCGGTGGGACTTTGAAAGTTGGCGAAGCGGCAATTCTCACTGTCAAGTCCACTCTTCCTGCTGGAATCGGCTGGAAGGTGGTGGAATGTACCGCCCATGATGGTCTTGGTGACTCTTCGCAGAAGCTCCTAGACGATGATGGGTGCCCCATCGATGAGCTCTTGCTCCCAGTTCCTAGAATGGGTCCGATTCAACCCATCTCATTAATGAAACATCAAGAAGCAATATCGAGGTTCGCAGCCTTCAAGTTTCCGGATCGAGATCGACTTCATTTGTCGTGTTTTCTGGAATTGTGTCGTGGGACTTGTCCCGAGGTAGCTTTCAGTCGTTTATTCTTGACGTTTCATTAAACGAATTGGTTTCAGGTCGATTGCACCGACAAGAATTCCACTGACAATAGATTAGGACGAACTTTAGGTGAAGGAGAGGTTTTAGACCGGTTGAAAGTCTTCAATAGTGTGGAAGTGTTGGCACCGGCTATTGACGACTTGAGGAAAAGCGAAAGGTTGCAAATCAGTGGTGAGTTTTTGGGAATTGTAACCGATGTACATATCTATTTCTTTTATTCTGTATATAAGATTGTGTATAAATATATTGTTATGCACGCTCGCTCTTTTCTTTTTCTATCCTAGCACACTTCCTCTTCTTTGTAGCGACTTATTGGTTTTTTGATTGATGATCAAAATTAAAATGAAATTAAAAAGCAATTTGTCGAAGGCTGAATGTGGGCAAACAGAAATCGATTCGGTAGCTAGCTAATTAAAAGCAACTTGCGATACAAACGGCTCCCCTTTGAGGGCCTGATTGTCGATTTGAATACCACGGCGAATTTAATCTGCGTTTTGCCGTCTCAACCTCCGTGGGAACGAAACCATTTTGCGATTTATAAGTCTTTACGACTCTAGTCTTTATTTATGAAGAGCAATAGTATGATACATCGTTTGTTTTAGTTTATTATCAGCGGGGTGCCAATTTGTTGATTAAATTTGCTTTTGTAGCAGTCCGATTTGGCCGATAGAGAGCTAAAGCCGCATTCACACCGACAGGGATCTGGTTTTGAGCAACAATAAATCAAACAGCGGAGACTAAACGTGTAATTTAACAATTTCACCGATAGCGCAAATAAAACACACAAAGTGAGTTATTACACGAGGATTCAATATTTACCATTCCGACTGTCATCAGTTATCTTCGGTTTTTATTTATTTAAGAGTCATATCGTTAAAAATGTTTCATATACAATAAATACCGCGCAGAAATTTAAAAGCTGGTTATTAAACGCAAGCAAAAATCGCACTTTTGATTTATCCCCCCGTTTTACTCCCAGTAATGGCCAATTTACAGACCAATCTGTATTTTATGCCGAGTCCGTTTCATCACAAAAGTAATTAGTGGATACAACAGATAATTGTAGCGTACGCCTACCGCGATTTATTATCAAATAGAGCCGATATAAAGTGTTGGGGCGTATGATGAAATATAACTCTGAGTTTTGTTTTTTTTTGATATCAAAGCGACATTTTGCACAATAAAGGCCCATCTATCCTTGTACTCTCTGACGCCTGTTACAAATGGCACCCCGTAAACATCTAATATAGCGTCATTATTATGCACAGTATGTTTATTTTTCAAATCGAGGTGGTCTGGCGGTGCGGGCACTGGAGCGCAAAATTTTCTGATGGCTCCGAGCGACGGCCGATGGAGCAAAAAGCACAAAGATTTTGATTAATGAAGATTCACAGCAATAGTGTGCGAACAAGAATAACTTCATAACTGCTGGGAATGAAGATGCGCCTCAAATTAAATTAAAATGGAAATTTTACACCCAATTCGATGCGCTGGCACAAGGCGGGATCTACTTATTCATGGATGTTGCGCAAATGAGCTTTACTTCACACAAACCACTTTCCATCAGAGGCTTGCACAACGCATATTTTTCTTTCGGCATCCTTTGTAGTTTTTTCTCATCTTCACTTTCCACCTCAAGGTTCCTCCTAAACTGAGACAGGTTTATTTTTCAGAACCCACGACGTTCCCTTTTTCTAACCTTCCAGGCGACCGGACATTCTGCGTCTCTCCGGACAAAGTCGCCATAACATTTTGCATCTTAGGTATCATATTCCTATGTGCTGTTGTCGTAGCAGCGTGCGCTTTGCTCAGAAGTCGCAAAAACGGGGACCAAAGTCCCTTCTACCCCAGGAGTTTGTTCTCGAGTAGCACAAGCGGGTCGGCCTATGGCAGCAAGCTACTCCTGCACGAAAGTCCATGTATGGATCAGTCGCCAAGGAGAATGCCTTATGGCCGGATGTCATAACACAACACTCTGTATATAAATAAATATTTTTGGGGCGGTTAATGGTGGGTTTGGGGCTTCGTTTTGTACGGGAATTCATCCATTCTATTCTTGAATGTGAATCCAGACGAAGTACGTTTATCTTTAAACAGTATTACATGCTTCATGATTACTTGATATAGAATTTCAAGTACTCATCATATTGTGTTGAGAAAAAATGTGATACGAAGAAAATAAAATAAATTATGTTTGATTTTTTATACATTTGTGACTTTCATTTTAACAGTAACACCCGACTCACGTTTAGACTTTATTCTTCCACCACACTCCAAAATTCAAAATTAATTTTTGCGTAAAAACAACTAAAAACATTCAAGAATCCATCTATCTACGTCGCTGTTTAATTTCAAAGACGTTAATAATCTTTGCCATTGTTCTTAATTATGTATCTACAAATTTATAAACAATACTACTGATGATGCCTTGAAAAAATTGATTTCCGAAATGTTTCTTGTTAAAAATGTAGTAAAGGATACATCCAAAGGTCGTTCTAAAGTTGAGGGCAAATTAATTAAATCTATTGTTTGAAAACTTGTTTTAATGTATTTAGATATTAACGCTGAAATTATTTGAAAAATTCAATCTTTTTGTTATTTCAGCATTTAGAATAATATTACTTGCAGTTGGAATAAGAAAAGGATATAGCAAACAGGTTGTCGTAGCCCCTGTGGCCTAATGGATAAGGCATCGGCCTCCTAAGCCGGGGATTGTGGGTTCGAGTCCCACCAGGGGTACTTACTTTTTTTTCGTTTTTCTTGTAATCGGCATTAATCTGTTATTACACGGTGATTACAGGCAATAAACGTCAAAAATATTTGTCATAATTTTTGATAAAATCAATCATCTCGCACATAAATCTTGATGAAGGTATCATGTATGGTTGTTTATTAAAAATGTGTAAAATATTGTCTTATCCCTGGCGATTTAGCGTCATTATGCTTAATTAAACGACTATAATCGAGCTTTAATGTTTACAAATAAGCAAAGTGATTTAATAAAAAGCTGTAATCACTGTTGTTACGGTAACTCTGGTTGTGTTTACAAAGCTGTGAACAAATTGCCATCATTCTAAAGCGATTTGTCCTCAAGCTATACGGCTTTTATCATGCAATTTGCTTTATGGGATTTCATTATGTCGCTTTCACGGTGAAAAAATCGATGAAAGCATTATCGTTCGTGAGCTTGAAAGCTTGAGACACAATACGCATTTGCATCGGTTGCATCTAAAACAGTTACTTATTGACGTAATAAATCGATTTTTTGGATTTAAATAACTTTATAAATGGCTAGTCAAACCATAGTGTGATACCGTTCTATAACCGCACACGTTTTCAGTTTTTTACCATGAAAACACTAAATAGGTCTAGTTCCCATAAAATATGGAAGCGATAGCTATTAGGGCGGCACGTGCAATTTTTTACCAGTATTTTAGGATGAAAAATGACCGTCGAGGCCTTACCACCGATGGCAATTACAGATACGCCTCATAAATGCCAGATATGTTACAAAAATTGCTCTATATTGTTAAACGGACTCCAGCTTTGCTCACCGAGGCGGAATGGACACAGGGCCGTACCTGAATTTTCTACACAGCCACAAAGCGTGTTTACAGACTTGCAGTGAAGCAAAATATCTCAAGTCCGGTCTGGCTATAGTCCCACTTTTTCAAAATTTTTACAAAGACAGTCTTCCATTAGAAACAACCCACGCAGAAGCCAAACTAATCGGAGCACATCTACAGTGTTTGTAATTAAAGAAGCCGATGTAAAACTAGGCGTGTCATTCATGTTTATCTGACAAAAGAGAAATTAAAGGTCCAACTAGGTGCAACAATGGGGCGGAAAAAGCGTCACGAGTTTGCCTTGAGTCATACTATTGGATTAATTGACTCCTGACTACTGGTAGTGAGTCTTTTGCTCGGGAATTAATCGGTTTGTGGTGCTGTCAAATGACAGGATATAATTGATGAGGACGCAACCAGTCTGCTACTTCCTGCATTAATGGTGATAGTAATACGTGGTAATACCATCTAAGAGGTTTTAAATGATGCAAGCACAAAACATTTTTTAAAGAGCTGGGGATTACATCAGATTTCCTATATTTTTGTGTTTCCGGTCCAGCTATTTAAATATTTGACTTCGATATAAAATTAAAATCGGACGTCATTGCAATGTGATGTTGACATAAGAATATATTAAAAGTGTGAAATGTATGGAAGCAGCCAGACATGGTTGACTGCATTTTGGTCTTTGTCAGCCTGTTACGAATGGCTGGTCCTTTTGCGATTTCTCATCACTTTGCATTTGGATCATGTTAGAAAAAGAAGGATTATAAAATCCAATAAAGAATTTAATCATTTCTTGAAAAAATCACAATGAGATCAGTAACAAGCGTGACTGTAAATATTTGCACTATTTGTATTTTTAAGCTTAAGAATGTTACTTCCAAGGAGTTTAGGACGTCCTAGAAGTGGCAATTTTAAATCCTCGGTAGTGGTCAGTATCCCCGCCTGTCACGCGGGAGACCGGGGTTCGATTCCCCGCCGGGGAGTTTTTTTTTCTTCAACAATAGTGTTAGCAAATAAGTTAAGTGCAATAATTTCCAAGAATCGCGATAAAAGAGGCACTTATTTAAACGATACGGAACCACATTCACGACCCAGCAGAATCGCACTCAAGTGAACGATTTTCTAAAATATTTCACACGGATATTGTCAAAAAGATAAATTGCTGAAAGAAATGGCTCTAAAGAAAAAAAGTTAAATTTCTAATTATTAGTAATTTATTGCGCTCGGAATATCAGATTTTTGTTCAGTCAACTGGAGAAATGGGAAAGTTCACGTGCGTGGAGGTCCATCACGTTTATCCCCCCAAGCACCGTTTAATTGAATGTTATCCTTCACCATCCAACGCCCTGATGCCTTTACTTAGTCACTTTGCACTTGAATGATTGCTCATGCAGCATCGGTAATGGCACAGGATGTGGTCTCGAAATTAAAGATGCTCCGCATCATTTATCAAGGAGAAAAAATTTGGCAGGACTATGACGAAAAGCGACCTTCCCTTGAGGCAATCGAACCCTCACTTCCTCTGGTATACGAAGATGGAACCACGGAACCAATCGCTTTGTTGTTTGTTGGCAGAGAAAAGTTTAATTCTCTTTTGCTTAGCTACCTAATGAAAGATACAATTTGGGTTAAAACCACTTTTTATTAATTCAATAAATCCTTTAGTTGTAACTTTTCTTGAACAAATAAATTTTTTCGTTAATTCGTTGGAACCAGACCTCTAGAAATTTCTTTTTTTCTTGTTTCTCTCTTTTTTTAAGATTATTTAAAAATAAAGCGTTTAATTTTTAGGAAATGGTCGGGAATGCAAAATAATCATCCATTAAAAAAAAAAAAACAATTAAAAATGGGTGTCTAGTTCCAATGCGGAAGAGGTTGAAAAGGTGACAATTTTGATTATAAAGCACAAGAAGAAATTAGAATTTACATCAATTTTGAGTTCATTCGAATGAACTAACTCCACGATACTCTAAAAAGTAAAGGGGACAAAAATATTTCCAAAATTTTTTGATGATTTTTAAAAGGCTGTATCTCATCGAAAAATGGTATTATCTAGATTTAAAAAACAGTTTAAAGCTGCAAGTTTCTAGTTTTGAGATCTTTTAGATTTTTTTTTCTGTGCTGCGATTATCACGCAGTCCTAAAAAATGGCGCGAGAAAAATAAATTATATTTTTTGTTTGTTTTTGGTCCACGGACTTGGGGAATTTTTTTTTAGTTAAATCAATGGATGGGACGGAGTTCATTCAACTTTTTTATATTCTCCTTACGTCAATTTGTCGCTATGATATTTGACGTTACATGAAAAAGGATCCTTCCGTCTTTTTACGTTTTTAAAAAAAAAAGTACCTTCAACATTTTCATTTTTAATGAAAGGAGAAAAAGTAACTTTTTGTTTGTTTTAGTAAATCTACCGCGTTTTCACAATAATATTGATAGGAAGACTAATGTTTCTTGGTGTTTTTTAGCTCTATAAATTTTTATGTCGATCCATTAAACCATTTTCCCAGACCGATTGATTAAAGTTTTACAGAAGAATTAAAGGAACAATTGTACATATTGTTTCTGAACCTTGTCATGCAAATGAGAAAACCACTTATTTTCAACTTTTTTTACAATTTTGCTTTAGTTATTAATTAAATTAAAAAAAAAAACACAATAAATCTAAAAAAAATGAAAAAAACAATTTTTTTAATTAAGCAGTATTGTCTTGAATTTTTTCAAAAAATTAACAAAATTTTTTTATACAAATTACGTGAAGTGTAAAAAAATTGAAAAAAAATATGTTTTTTTGGCAAAATTCAAAATGTCGGGTGTTAAAAAAAAAAGCCGAGCTGTTATATTGAATGTTATTCATACGATAACGATACAGAATTTATTTCCAATCTTCATGAACGTGAAAATAATCAATAGCTTTTTTTACTACATACATGATAAACAGACATGGAACAATACATATTTTAATTTCAAAGAGTGGTTGACAGTTGTATCAATATAATGATATATGTGGTAACTCCTCCAATTATCTGAAAAGTTGGTGAAGCTAATTAAAATTTTGGCACCGTTTTCCACCCACATACAGAAAATACCAAAGTGTAGTTTATGGGGAAAAACCCAGCAGCACTAAATTCCACTTGTGCATTTGCGATTTGAAGCGAAAACATTTCTATTTCGTCAACAACATCATGACTCTCAGTTTCAATTTTATGAATAAGTTCACCAGATTTAGTCGCCTACAAGTGCAAATCAAACTATTATCAAAATTTCTTAAATTACCTCTTCAATAGTCCAATAACAGGCATCACAAACTGTGATAGAATCAATCCCATAAGGAACTGCCGCCATCAAAATTACAATAATTCTCCACCAGTGAATCTGAGATTGCAATTCTGCAACGACTAGAAACATTGACTGTGTTAATATTAGAAAGTTGAACCCGAAAAATAGAAGCAAAGGAACTCCGAAAATTTCATTGAAATATTTTATTAATTTAGATAAGTGGTGATGCATCGCGCAGATGTTTGCAAAATGTAGAGTTTTTTTCTGAAGATCTGGGTTTTTTTTCGGCAAGTCGGTTGAAAAATATGTGACAATATCACTAATTTGTTTATTTACTACTTTGAAGCAGGCTTTGATTATCGAAATAAAAACAACACTTTGTTGGCTTATTAAGGAACTCATGAGACTAATAAACACGCCTAGAATTTGTCCCAGAAATTCATAAAAGGTCGTAGCAGATGACACATTGACAACTGCTCCTCGTATCAGGATAGTCGTAGATAGTGCAAAAAATACATATCTTGCTATCATCATTCGCAAAAATTCTTTATTCTTCCAGTTAAAGTTTATCGCAGTTTGTTTCAGTTTTGTGTCAAATTCTGTTATTTCGTTCAGGAATTTTATAAATTTTTTTCTGTTGACTAAACTGCAAATCCATACTCCTTCCATGAAAATTGTAGAGGAAGACACTGTCAACAGAATCATAGCTTTCATTACAATTTTTAAATTTTCGGTTATAGCAAATTTATAAACACAGAAGCCACTTGACAAAAGATAAATACAGCTGAGTAAAACATTCCATCCGGTCCTAACATTTGACAAATAAAAATTGCGATTTGTACAACCGACTGTTATTAAACCGAAAATTTGGCCCTGAATTAAAAACACTCTGATAGATGAAGTGAATTTTTGAAACACTTTTTCTTTAGTTACTGTTTTGAACATGGTTGTGGTATGAATGAATGCAAGAAAGGCACACAATCAATAAAGGAAAATTATTAGAATGTCAGATAATAATAACATTATTATACTAATTGATTGATTTTTTTAATATCTACAAGAGGTTACAATATTCATATTACAAGACTCCTTGAAAATTGTAGCAAAATGATAATGTATGTGGTAACAGCTCCAACAAACTACAATAACAAAAAGTTTTTCATTATAAAGTTATTACAAAACTTACTGCAAATAGCAAAGTGTAATCTATAGAGAAAAATCCAGCCGCAGTAAACCCCGCTTTCTCATTCAAAATTTGCAAAGAAAACATTTCGATTTTATCAATAATTTCGTGGTCGTTTGTTGCAATTTTGTGGATAAGCTCTCCTGACTTGGACACCTAGAAATTCTCTAAGTAAAAAATTTTTAAAAATTGTACTCTTACTTCTTGAATCGTGGAATAACAAACGTGACAGATGTAGAAAACATTACTAATATATATGATGCATATAAAACTTATATAAGAAAAAAATAACCACATGATATGTTCGGATTGTAGAAAGACACAAATTACAAAAATCGTTTGTGTGATGATGAGAAAACTGACAGCAAACATGAGTAATAATCCAAGACCAAAAATGTCATTGAAAAGTGTTATCAATTTTGATAAATGGTGATGTAAAGTGCATATTTTACCAAGAGCTGTTGATTGTACTTTTGTTGCAAAAGTCGTCTCCAAGTCAAAATAATTGACAATTTTATTTAATTGTATATTGAGGATTTCGTAACGATTCTTGAGTATTAAAGCCAATTCATTTGCTAAATAGCAGTGAGATGCCTGGAATAGTGTTGAAAATAATCCACAATAGTTTGCTAATAATTCGTAAAAACTATTAAATGTATGTTTTTGTTGAAGAATACAATACAATGATAAGTAACTTGTTAAAAAGGCACATCTTACAAACAGATGGATTACGCTCCTTTTTCTTTGTTTCTCATAATCGATAACAAGAAAATCACTCTGTAATTTTACATCAAATTCGACTATTTTTTTTATAAACTCAATAATTTTTTTGCGATTGATTATAGTGTTGATCCAGACAGTTATCAAATATGTTCCAGAGGCAAGACCAATCATTAGAGATGATACTTTTAGTAAAATAGTGATTGTTTCGTCTATTAAAAGGTTAAATATTAGAAGAATCGTTAATGAACAATAAACCAAAGCTGCTAGAAATGTGCAAAAGGATTTAGTTTTTGATAAGCGAAAGTAGTTATCTCTGTAACTGAAATTAATCAACCCGAAAATCTCACTTTCGACAAACACTATTTTGACAGAGTAAAGAAAATTTCTAACAACTTGCTGATGCATGGTTCTGAGTGGTTTAAAAGAATTAATGTAAATGTGGATCAATAATTCTGTGTATACTCTTTATTGGCTTTAGTAACTAATTAATTAACTTTAGGAACTTACTACAAAATATCCACATATAAAATAGAGCTCGTTTCAAGAGCCAGCCCTTTGATGGAGTAGAAGCTACGGTTTTGTGACCTATTTACGGTACTTGTTCACATTTGCTCTTCCGCCAAGGTCTGGACACGAACAGTTCTAATCAGAATGACCGTTGAATTTTTACAGGATCGCCATCAGACTAATAACAGGCTCGTTCCGCATGCGATTCCGGGATACATCTCGCTCTAACGGTGAAATCAAACCAACCAGAACTGCAAACATCCACGAAATTAGTACTTTGTCCTATTAAAACATTGATTTTATGCTTTAAACTTCCTGAAGACGCCCGGTCTAATCCCTTGTAATTGAAAGATTTTCATCGTCTGTTGAGAGCCTGTCATTTTATCCAACTCCGGTGAAATTTTCTCCAACCCGAACTTGCAATACCTAATGGTAATCAATTTTAATAGAGAAATTCCAACGGCAAACTCTTCGATTGTGTTTTGCTACTAAGTGACAGCACGAAATGTTTTTAAGCAAATTGGAACCGTACGATTTTTACCATCAGAAGAAACGTTATTAATTCTGACAAGTGGGTTTTGTTGTCTCATTGTGGTGTGTACACTATACAGTTAATCCTCACTTCGTGATGTGTGATTGCTGACAATGACAAGAGTGAATCGTCTCCGAACGAAATGAAGCATTGCTTTCACAGGAATTCACACAAAAAGTGAATCATTATTGTGCACTATACATTTTTCAGCAATTCGCTTATTTAAGTTTCCCTTTTCATCACTGTTGTAAACGAATCTGAATAGACAGGTTCAACAGCGTTCATTATGCTTGATTTCAGTTTCATTTAAAGAGAGTAACGAATTTTGCTTAAATGCTTGTTTAACTTGTTATTCACACGTAAAGAATGAAAAAAGCTTTGCGTTATTTTTTATTCAGTAAAAGTGTATTAGGCCCCACTATAGAACATTAAATAACCTGTCAATAAAAATTCGATTTAACGAGGTTCAAGATTGAAAAATCGCAAATTCGTTATTTACAACAATATCAAACAGTTATTTTTTATGAACACCTGCCCTGGCCCCAAAAAATGACGATTAAAAATATACAATAAAAATTATTTTTCCTACGACGAAAGTAAGTTTTTACACCCTAATTTAAAAAAGAACAGAAAATAGCCAATTATCTCCTAGGGAGGTAAAAAATTTACGTCCCTAGAAAATAAAAACTTTACCTCCCTCATCTGTCAAAATTATCTCAAGGAGGTAAAAATTTTACCTTCCCCATAGAAACGGAAAAATATGCTGCTAAATTTAATGGAGAAACTTAGATATCAAGAGAAATTATTGTTACTATTGATGTTTTTTTTTGCTGGATTGTAGGAAAAATTATATGAATTACACTAGAGGAAAGAGTCTTTGACAAGTCTGTAGAAGGAAAAGATATATTTTCCTTCCTTGTTATACAAACAACTATTGACATATTATTAGTTTACTAGGGATCTTCATAATTTTGAAATTTTTGTTTTTTTGTTTTGAAAAATAATATAAAAATAGAAATTGAATCAATATGCTAAAAGCAATTCATTAGACGAAAGTTTATAAACAACACGTTTGTTAATGAAAGAGATAACATATTATCTCGCTTTATTTAGCAGTTAATAATTTAAATATTTTTTTATAATTTAAGTAGATATTAAAAACACAAGTAAAGTGTAATTTTAAGCACACAGTCAAAGATCATGTTCTTCAGAAACAATCGGTCTCACACTAAAAAAAATAATAATACAAACGTGAATCTAAAATAAACACATATTTTACAATACCGCTAGTGAGTTTTATTCTCGAATGAAAAAATTCATTTTTTGTCAGCTCAGTAATTTTTAAATAATGAGGAAGTATTACGGTCTGTGACTGTCAAAATAACAATCCAGCACGTTTTTCTCCGGTGTAATGTTAGATGGGATTTGGGATAATAATCCGATTTATTTCCAAGTGAGCAAATTATGTCATCATTTTAAACACATGTTCCTCCAACAACTACTTAAAACTCAATCAAATCGCTTTTTGTACTTTTTAACAAGACTTGTGTACAAAAAACGCAATAACGATGGAAGCTGTCAATCATGTTACAATAAATTTTCCACGATATCGAAACCGTAAAAATTTTGGCCACCAATAACTGTAAGAAAATCTCAAAAATCTCATTAAATGTGATAGTGGCGTTATGTGATTACTGGGTTTACAGTTAATCCAGCTTTTGTGGTTTAATTAAATAATTTCATCCTTTTTTATGAAATGCGTGTTGTCATAATGGCAATAAAAGTGAACTGTAGTCTTATTGTGGTACAAAATTAAAAATCCAGTAAACATGGACATGCAAATTATGTGTGGACAAGACAGTTACTTATTCATCGCAAGGATTTTCTTGTTTCTACACGTTTATGGTAACTGTATGGATGTATTGAATAGATCATACTTAGTTCCTCCAACACATGTTTTGCCTTTGAAATTATTCAATCATCCCTCGTCGTTCGCTTTTCTCTTATTGGCTCAAATTACGCGTCCATAGACTCCAAACAAGTGCAAACATCACGTTTTCCCATAACGGGTGTTCACATAGTATGAATGCCAAAATACGACAAAATCTCAGAGCGTAAACCGTGAGCTTCCCATCGATTGATCGATCGGTCTATCGACTTCCGATTGCGTAACAATGAAGATGTCATTTCCAGGTGGCATCACACTTTTTAAGTGCAAGTGTTTAGGAAAAATGCGTCGAAGTGGCGCAAAAACGAAATGAAGCGACGCTGCATCCGCATTGTTGGCGTTGAAAGGCGAAATTGGCCATTATTGAAAAGAGGCACAAAAGGCATTTATCCCTCAATAACGCGAAATTACGAAACGTTTATAAAGGACGCTTCGCACGTATAACGCAACAATAACAAACATCTGCCTCTTCGAGTTATTCGTGCAAATCACTTTAACGGTGGTCCGTGGCAAAGAATTATTATTTTTCAATAACCTCTTTCTCAATAAGATAACTGTAACAAAAGTCTTACACAATGTGACGACTGCTTCCGCCAGGGAATGCTCTTTTCTTGGCTATCCGCGTCGCCGAAAAAAATCGTTTAATTTATACGCGACGCGATGCGTAACATTGCGTTAACGCAAACGCATCGCGTTCGCTTTTAAACTTTCAGCGAGGATCGTTACAAAGATCTTCAAGATTGCATCGGCTATGACATGAAGTGTGTTAAGGTCAGGTGTTGCAAAAAAGGAAATGATGTTTACTAGCCACAACCAAGACGAAAACCACTAATACACATTGTTTTTTATAGAAAACAAACGACCTGACGAAATGCATACCTACTAATTAAATAATTTATTAATTAGGCTGAGCTCTGAATGAAAGCTACCGCGATAATGAGGTTTTTAGAATACCAGATTACCAAGAATATTCAAAAATAAAATTACTTCAAAGAAAAATTGTCTTACTCACCAAATCAATTATTAGTGTAAAGAGATCATGTCCAAATGATAAAACTTGAATTAAAATCAATTTCAATTGACTGTAATAGTCAGAAATTGGATTACCAATTCTGATTGAAATTTACTGGAATTATATCAAGGTTAAAAGAGTAATTTCTCAAATACTTGATTGAATAATTTCTTCAATAGAAGCACTCTTGCGCTAAAAAAAAGAATTAAAATTTACAATTACAAAATTCAGTGTTGTCGTTTTTTCTAAAAATCATATTTCCCACTAAAAAGTAAAGTTAGTTCTAGATTAAACATACCTACTTTTATTTCGTATTGTTTTTAATGCTTTCTTTTGCCAATTACTCCTATGTAATTAATGACAGCTCTTTATATCAATATCAGTTAAACTTTATTCAAATTCAAAAATCAGAAATATATACAGCGTGTTTTAAAATGATTTTCATGTAGTCGCCTATGGAATTTCCATGCAAAATGTAGTATATTATTACAATTAAGGTGGAAAATATGTCATTACCCTCAACAACGGGATATAATGACAAATTTCCCGGTCCTCTATAAGGTTAGTAATTATCTTTTGGGCTACTAAAAATAGTATGCCCCCCAGAAGAAAATACACGAAAAAGAATGCGAGAAGAGAGTTAGGCTTTTACAAAAATTAAAAAGGCAATATACAAGATGCCCCAACGAACTGGTAAAATTCATTATTAACCTTTAAAAGTTAAAATTAAAAAAAACTTGTGTTTTGTTTTAAATAAAACATTTTCTTGGCATTTTTGGATGAAGCTATTTATTACAATACGTCTTTAAAAGATAAGCTAAGCTTATATTGATCGATTTTGCTCAGTTTTTGAAATAAGTTGTTTCTTTTTTTGAAAAAAACTAAAACTGCTAAAAAATAATGTTTTTAAAACTAAGACAGATAGAAGAAAATTTTACTACTGCAAAGAAGAAAGTACAAACATTAAGGGTATAACAATTTTTAATGTAGAATTTTGTAAAAATTTTAATAGTTTAAATAGAACACCCTACTTTTTTGCAACTAATAGATTGTTAAATTGTCTATTTAAAAACATACTTTTAAATGTTTTAAATCTCTTAGATGCAAAATCAATAAATAGGATGTTCCACAAAAATTTAAGGTATTGAATTTTGAATAATTTTTAACAAACTTCTTAATTTTTTATCTTTACAAACGCAACACGCACAAAAATGTTATAGCCTAAAGGTTTTCGAAGAGTATTTCCTTTGCAGAAAAAAAATTCTATCTGTCTTAATTCTTGTGTAGTAAATTTGTAGAAAGAGTATGACGACGTTACTGATTTAAGTGCAAGCAAAATTGCCTCCCTAGGTTAGGGTGACCCTGGAGACTGTCAATAAAGTGTCTTTATTCACAATTATGAACTAATGATCAAATTACTTGCACGAGAAAAGTTGGCAAGTTATGAAATATGAGAGTTCAGGGTGGAAAGTGGTCACTTCTCCATCAATTTTCTGGTTGGGAAGTAGCCATTTCCCAACCGATGTTTTTTTAATTTTTTGTTGCTCGGTCCTTCCCTGAGTTCACTAGAAGTACATTCCATTTCACTTTCACTGTTAATAACGGAAATTTTCCTACAGGTATAGCCAAGGAATAAACACAAACGATGCGACCTTACTTTGACATAGGTATGTCGTTTGACCAAGGAATATTTTGTTTATTGTCTATTTAATAAAAACGTAAAATGCAGTTTCAAAATTTGATAAAAGCTTTATTGGCTTTCTGTTCTTTGAGGAGAATGATTGTGAATAAAATAGTGTACAAATCTGGTGGTTGTTGCTTCATCAAACCTCGGCATTTTGCCTTGGTAATAGAGCACCCTCAACCTCGGTATCTAATCTACTATTTTTCCTCATGAGTAAATAAACAAGAGGATAAAAAAGTTTTCTCAAAAAATCTTTAAAATATTTGCGAAATTATTATTTACATACCTACTTATTTCTCTTAAAACAAAGTCGACTATTCTTCAAAAACATAATGTTAAAGGGTTAAAGCTCGTTCGCTGTTTAACAAGGAAAATAAAATTTATAAATAAAAAAGAATCTGTTTAAAGTGTCAGCGACTCACGAACTTAGAAAGGGAAAGTTTTTGGAGTCACAATAACGTTATGAAAAATTTAATTAAAAATGAAATTAATTTCAAAGCAAAATGGACTTAAAATAAATCACGTCATGCCAATTTTGTATTTTATTAAGGAAAAAAATTGTTTGTGGGCAATTTTCACATCAGAGGCAGAAATAAAGAGTGTTTTCATTAGTTTAATGCTCCGTAATTTTGGTAATAAAAATCAGTGTCCAGTCCCGGCCACTCAGAATAATCTCATTTGTCAACTTTTTTAAAAACTCCATTCTCATGGTCATTAGCGGTCACAGTCGGTCCGACAAGAAAATGATTCACATTTCACACCTGATTATCCGGACAATCTCGTCCAATGACCGTCGTAAAATAAAACAAAGGGCAAATTTAAATTGAAGCGGATTTGATGACAATGTGTCGTTTCACTGGTCCAAGTGACGAATGAAGCGTGCTTTGTGTATTCTCACGCTGCGTGGGAATACAATTGTCATTACATCTTCTTTAGCACCCTTGCATTTTTTATTATTATTTTTAATGAAATAAAGCGCAAGCAACAACAAAAAATTGCTCTAATAACCACTCTGGGATTTATGGAACGACCTGGCCATAAATAAATATAGCCACTGAATTAAAGTTACTGGTGGGTATAAAATGTTTTAGAGGGTAATATAGTTTATACGAGTATGCCTGGTTTAAGGTATAATTACGAGGAAAAAAAATGGCAAAGCACTAGTTAAAAAACCGTAATCATTGCGAAATTAAAATGAAAATTTTTGGTTTTGCAGCAATTTTGTTAGTTAAACCATTTGAAATAATATACTACAACAGGAATTCTAAGTCGTAAACGTGGTTTCAAAAAAAAAATCTCCCCGGCGGGGAATCGAACCCCGGTCTCCCGCGTGACAGGCGGGGATACTGACCACTATACTACCGAGGACACACTATTTCGTTACAAAATTTAGAAAATTGCCCCAATTTTGCTTATAATAACATTAATTTTTGTCTATTTGAAAATGTCAGAATTAAGTAAATTATTTCTTGTAGGTTATAACCCCTCGGAACGGTACTTGTTGTCGGTAATTCCCGACCATCTAATCCGGCAGCCTTTATTTTTTCCTAACAAAACTACAAAAACTTCTGCAACTCATTCCCCACGAACACAATGCACAAAAGATTATTATTTAACCACTAAACTGATCGAAACAAAAACTGTGTCTCGACTTCATTTAATTCTTTCTGACGCTTATTGAAACGTGAATAAAATGTGCAACAAGTAATTACGATTAAAAAAAATGATGTTTCAACGATCCGTTTGCTCTGAATCTCGTGAAATTAGCCGGAATCGACTTTTTACAACATTTGGCCGTGATTGCAAATTATTGTTTTTTTGTTGTTTACTCTTAAGCGATGCTTGTTAGTGCATTTGAGTCTCTTTAATCGTTTTGTTAACAGGCAGCTGAAGAAAATTTCAATCAGTTTTCTGCTTGTCTATTCTAAAATGGTTCTATGAAAACTGTGAGAAATAGCGGTTTTTTTAATTTTGACGACGAGGCAATTGGAAATTGCCAGGCCTTTCTAAATAATACTCATTTTTCATTGAAGATAACAAATTGTATTCTTTAGAATTCTTTAGCAAAATGAAGCATGAAATAGTTTTCGAATTTGCGTTGAAACAAACGTAGATCTCATTTCAGAGCAACAAAAACGTGATACGAAATACATCAGAACAAAATTTTTTGGTTTAACTTCTTCTTATTTAATTAAATTATTATTAAAAATTATGAAAAACATTAATAAAGGGTAGGGGTATAGCTAGCATTTTTGCGAGGAGAGATCTAGACATTCCTATCTAATAGTTTGTATCGGTGGTATTCAGCATGGATAATTGCAAAGATCGCAGGATAAATCTCTGCTGACGCTAAAGATCTCATCATCAAGCACAATATATCAAAAAGTGTTGCTCGTCCTAGCGAAGGTAATGTCTAGGCCACGAAAGAAACCGAAAAAATAGCAAAAGCTGAAGACGTTTTGTGGAAGGGGTAGAATATGTATCTCAGTGCAATTTAGAAATTCACTACAACTGTTGAAGATTTCGCGCAAGAACTACTCTATAACAGTTTCTTTACGATAGTTGAGTACCCAACATCACGGCGCATCCTCACCATCGGTGTCAGTTTCTTCAGCAAGTGTCGCGCGTACAATAATTGCGCGAAAAAATGTGGAATATCCGACGAAATTAAATTATAAAAAATTATCGGAACTTTGATCTCGGCTAAATTACATGTTGTGTATTAGTGTTGAAAGAGGATACTGCAAGAGGAAGCTTTAAAAACATTTTGTAATTTGCAACCAATGTTTTACTGATTCAACTAATTCAAAATAAAACGACATGGATTTTGTTACGAGGTGAGGGCTTAATTAGACTTACTTTCGTTTCATTATTTATTCAGATTTATGCGGACGAAATCAAAAAGTGTAGCACAAGGAAAGTGAAAATGGAAATATCGTTTATATCTTTACTCATTACAATTTTATTAATTAAATCATCAAATCAGAATTACACTTGGAAAAGTGGGTAACCATTCACGGTTTATGTTTTGCTCCGGTCATTTTCAATTAGAATCACTGCAGGTAATTCTTCGCAACTCGTGTAATAGTAAACGGCGTCAAAATGAGAGTAACGCCATTATTTAAAAAAATATATATATGTTAAATTACGACACAAACATTCTTATTTTTATTTGTTTTTATACAGGGCGTCCTAAAAGCAAACCGCCAGTGATACAAAACGTCATTTAGAGAAAAAAAGTTTAAATACATTTTTATCTATTTTCATTCGTTGAAGAGTTACAGCTTAGCAAAAAGTAACAAAGAATTTTGTCAAGTCTCATTCAATTGAAGCAGTGGAAGGCACTTTAAGCAATTTTTGTCTATTATGTCTTAATTCTTAATTTTTTTCCAATTAAAGTTTTTTTTATTTCATAAAGAAATCGTTTTAAAACTCATGTTTATGTTTATGTCACATCAGTTAGTTAAATGAGACTTGGAACTAAGCATTTGTTTCATAAATGTCATCGATTTGCTTTTGGGACACTCAAGTATATCCACCATAATCTCAAATCTACTCTAATGCTCTATTTGCGTAATTTACATTTCATTCTAAAAGGGCCAACGTTATCAATAATTTAATACATGTGGAAAAGTCTTAAATTAACAGACCGTTAAAATTTGTAAAGAATTACATTTTAGACAATGAAATAACAAACACTCTTTAAACTAGATTACTTGACATTTTACTATTTTTAAAATGAGTTCATTTTTTTAAATAGTTTCGATAAATTCCTACCAATTATGTAGTACCTATGTATATACGAATGGGTACATAGTTATAATTAAACAAGGATTTTGATTCTTTTTAATGTTGTCATGTTATCAAAGACTGATGCGAGTATAGTTTTTGCTACATCAGTTTATTAGGTATTTATTTGATAATTTTCAACAATCTGAGAAAAATTAAATAATCTTTTTAAATAAATGTAGAAAATCCTCATAATACATTGTTTTCCTCGTTAATAATTTTATTTAATTTTTTACTGTGTTGAACACGAAAAGGTGAACATACTGTCATTGTGTTTATTCGCACATTCACGTGCAGTTTAATACGAAAATAATATGATGCAAATACGGTGTGAAGAAATTCCAGACTGTATTAAAAAAACTACCGTAGCTCTAAATAGTTAAAATGTCTTTGTAGTAAAACAGCAAAAAATAAAACTGTAATGTTATTTGCCCAATCTTTGTTACCTCTGTTTCTCAACAATTTCTACACCTGCAAGTTCTTTAACTCATTTTTATTTTTCATAGTTTTTCATCTAATTAGTTTAATTATGTAGAAGTCGTGATTTTTTACGTATTTTTACGTAAACGATGCCTAACTCTGTATAGAAGAAAAACTGCCACAACTAAAAGTAAATTCACACAACATTTACAGTAGAACCTCTATTCATAATCAGAACTAATTATTGCAAAAGACTATTTAGATTTGCAATTTTTCAGATCATCGAATTAACTTTTTTACAATTAAAACAAAATATACAGAGTGAATATAAAGTATGGAATCAAGGTTTTTTTATCATTTGTCTCCAGAAAATTTTTGAAAAAATTAAATATAAAGTAGATAGTAGTATGTAATTCTTAGATCACAACCTTCATGAAAAAAATGGTTTTGTAGTGGGTTACCATTAAAAAAAAATAAAAAAATTGCAGAACTTAAAAACAAAAGAAAATTTTGAAAACTCATGTTCTTGATAAATCATCACATTTTTATAGTACTTTATCATTCATCAATTAGTTTTTCCAAAAAATAAATAGTTTAAACAACAAACGTTTGGTTCCATACTTTTTATTCACCTGGTATGTATTTTTTTAAAGGAAGAGTAAAACCAAATATGTATAAAAATGCATACTTTTATTGTATGTGAATTTATTGACGAATAAAGAATGAAGTAATTTTTTGTATAAGTTTAACTGCCCCAGCCTCTTGGAACAGATAGGTAGTTTTCTGATATTATGATATTAACAAGTTTGGTTAGTAAAAAGAAACAAGCATAATATAATTTATAAAAGTGGGGATAATTATTATCTTTGTTCAGATTAAAGAGGTTTAACTGTAATTGCAATTAAATTTTAATTAGGCAACTTACTGGTTCAAAATTTAATTCGCTTTCTGTAAAATGGCTAAAAAACTAAAATATACGAAACAATAAAACGAACACATCAATAACCATTAAAGAAGATTCAAATAAGCGTTTCACGCATCGATTAGATTTTTATAGTATTCAAATCAAATTATATTTTAAGAGAGAAATATTTCAGACATAAATTTATAATGATTTGAAATGTCGGGTCCTAATGCAAAATAAATTAAACGACATCGTGATTTTGTTATGAATACAAAGCTCGGCATTGCAAAAATGTAGCCAACATGACTAAGTACTTTATAAATCAAGCCGTAACATTATCGGTTGAATCGAATTCATTCATATTTTGTGACTGGTGCTTATGCTTATCTCACTATACCAAACGTGTATGTCATTCAAGTCTGAATCTTATTTTAAAAATTGACTTTTTATTAAATAAATATCAATTTTGGATTCTAAATTATCTTTATTCCTAAATTTGTTTTTGATTGATTCAATTTTGTGAAAATTATAATTAGGTAATAATAATCATAATTATCATTTATAATGTATCAATATTTTAACACTTTAATAAATAATAGTCGTACCTCAGTTATTGATGTTCACCCTATTGCAGTTACATATAAAAGAATTCAATTTAATCTCATAGGTTTATAGAAGCCGAATTAAATATTTAATTGCAATTAAATTTAATTCGTTAGGTGATTGTTGAATTTTGATGAACAATCAAACAGATTTCAGGATTTTGAAGTTAATTGCGATTAGGATTAACTTAATTTTGATTTAATTTCACTTTCTGTAAAACTCACCCATTTTATAAAATAAATGTCATGTTAAAATTAAAGTGTGTATTAACTTTGAATATTACACAATCAATTTACAATTTTTTTAAGTAAAGTTTAACTTTATTATTGAAACATTTAGGGGCGTTTTACAGAAGGTGTTATAACAAAAACTGTAAAACCAGACAATTGTGTATAAAATTTTGAATTGAAATAAAAAGAAACCACTCAGACTGTCCTGAATCCTTGACATGAGCAAAAGAGCTCATGCGAACGATCATCGATGACTTGAGCCAGGTTGATAAAACCTGACACAAATCTGCCTCACGCTCAGGATTCAGGACTGTCCCTCATCATCGTGGTTGCGTCAACTCTACGTTTGAGTGTAGAGTATGTGAAGATATACTACAGAAATGATCCTGTGAAGTATGATCTTGACCTCCTATACAAAGCCAATCCTTCTTATACAACACAAAACCAGGAATGTTCGTGAGTGTCAACTGACAGCGACATCTACTTAGATAACACTCTAGTAATTATCACAACGAGAAAAAAAGTTGTTACTACATAATGTTATAACTTCCATCCTATTTTTTAATTAAAAAAAACTCATTTCATACGTAATTAAGTTGTAATTGTACTCTTATGCAACTGCAAAATGTGTAAAAATGAACAGAGAATGGCTTTCGCTTATATTCGGTTGACTTTACGAAATTATGCGAAGCCTCTTTAGCTCAGTGGCAGAGCACTGGTCTTGTAAACCAGGGGTCGTGAGTTCAATCCTCACAGGAGGCAAATTGGTTCTCAATCACACAAAACATTTTTTTTCAATTTTTATTAAACATTCCCATTTCATGAAGATGGTGAAAAATGATCTCCGTGTGAAACGATCTAGAAAAATTAATTAACAATGACCCTGAAATGAGATATTGTGTAGTATTTTGTGCAATCCATTTCCAAGGACTGTCTAAAGAAACTAAATTACAAAATGCTGTAAGCGAGAGTGAATCTGCTTTGATGGATAGTTAATTCGTGTCGCAAATGAATTAATTAAGCGCTAAACGAAATCTTTTACTCCAGCAAATTGATAACATCAGACTAAATAAATAAGAGTCGCGAATAATTTTTCACTCGAGTGCCCACCCTTCCAAATTGTTGAGTCAATAATTTCCAAAAACAGATGCGTTTAAAACGGTTATTTCAAGGTTACAACCGCGCAAATATTTCGTGTTATCCTAGTGCTGTATTTTTGCGAAAAAAACTGCGTAAACTGGTGTAAGATCACCGCATGGAACTGGAAGCCGTTAAAATCACGCTTGACTGTTACACCTCCAAGTCCCATTAACACCAAGCAAAAACGTAATTGTCTCATTTAACGTGTCTATGTTACCGAAAATTACTGTTAAGATACAGTTTTCACTTTTGTTTAGGTGGCGACCCCTTCTCATCCTAGGTTTGGCGCTTTTCCACACGGTGAGTTGGGTCAATCATCAGTTGATTGGATGCAAAAATGTGCTATTTTCAGTGTCGATGTGATGAAACCACAGAAGTAGAATATAGTGTTAGTAGTAGTACTAGTGTCGAACATGCGAAAAATAGCACAGAGAGTTTTCCGGAGTCGGCCGCCTTGGTGGACCAAAACGCCAACCACACAAGAGAAGCCCTCACTCGCGATGCCAGCGACCACGAATCAGTAAGCCCCCAACTTTTTAAAATTCAAAGATGTATCCGATACGTCAGAAATGAAACATCGCCTTTATCTTTCATAATAGCCTTGCGCAATGTCAATTTAGTACATGGGTTTCGATGTAAAGCCCGAGATTTTTCATTGTGCTCCAAGGAAAGTGATGAAGAACCGATTTCGGTGATGGAAAAACGATGCACTACTCGAAATTCAGCTTGCGTGTCGCATATGTAAATCGCGCGGTTTTGCTCTATTTCAATAATAATCCTTTAAAGTCTTTCTGTGTCAGTCATGATCCTCCAAATCGGGGTTTGTGGGATTCCATGTCATTTCAATTTCCAGGTGGTTTTCATTGGTGACACGGCCGGTTATGTCCCGATACCCAATCTGAGGACTCGGGACTTCCCCTCGGCTCCAGACGACGTCGACTGGCATCATCCGGTCGAAAGCTGGGATAGGGAATATCGACGTTTCCGGTTTAACACAACGAGGGTCCAACGTAAGTTTTCGCCAATATTTGATCTCGATACCGAAAGTGTTTCCTGTGTGAAGTTTACGTAAGCTGTTCCGGTCAGCTTGGAGGGAAAGTGACCGTCAGCGATTTTACGATAACGAATCCCTCGTCCTACTTTAGCAATTTTTTACAGACATCGAAGCCGAATGCCAGGATGATTATATGAAAATCAGGATAGGGTTCAATGGGACCTTCACAGGGTTGGTCTACTCTGCAGGTAAGAAACTCAATCAAGTAGCCAGCTGTCACTTAAAATATTAAAAATTACTCATTTGTTATGATAGTTCGTCGAGTGAATCAATCACAGACACATGTAATGACTAACAACAAGTGAGTGAGAAAACTAATGCATTTTTCATTCAGACATGTTTTCCAAAAAGCTTGATTAGAGTAAAAAAGAAAAAAAACTACAAAATCAACATTTTTAAATTCCAAATTTATAATTTATACAAAAACTCAGCTCTTATACAGGCTGCGCCAGAACTCGCGCCCCAGAAAAAAGTGCCATATAAGATGAGATACCAGGAACATGGAAAAAATGTTAAAAAAAATTATCTATAAAAATTTCGAAGTTATGAGGGTTTAACGTTTGTACTTTGACTCTATTTATTTCTGTTGGAAAAATAATTTTCCAAGTTTTTTTGCTATAGGCTATTAAAAGAGGAAATAAGGAAGCTGTATCCTAAATTGTAACTCTGTTCAATGTTATTTGTGGCTTTTATTGGCAAGATTTTTGTCCCTTTACTAAATAATTCTAAAAAAAACATATACAAGATCATCAGTATCATTAAATAGTTATAAAAAAATGTCCAATGTCAAAAAATATATGTCAAAATTTTTTGACAGATAGAATTTTTTAAACATTTTTTTCATGTTCCTGGTATCTAACTTTACTTGAAAATTTTCTCTGAGACGCGAGTTCTGGCGCACCCTGTATACAATATTTCTTTAAACTAGATAATTGCCCATGTTCGAGTAGCATACGCACTGTCTAAGTGACAATATTGGACAATGTTGGCAAACCTTAAACTTGGTTACTTTTGAGTTGTTGCACTGCATGACTGAAGCAGGAATCTATTGAGAAAAAATACTGTTACAATTAATTAGAGTGCAATCACGGATGTCACCGCATTTGAAATTTTTGCATTTTGTGAAAAAGCGAACCAAACTGTAAACATGCCTGTCAAATTCTTGATTTTATGCGAGCATTGAGGTATTCCCACGACAAATAAAGCGTCAAGATCAAGCGATCGAACAGCCTTGCGGTTTTGTATAACAGGTTGGCAAGCTTAAAATTAATTTTGGCTAACAAAACGGTATCCAAATTAAGAGATTAGACAATTCGTTGTAGCTTCAACAATTCACCGCTTATCTAATTACATGTCTTTTTGACAACAGAATTGTTACAACTTGGTGAAAAAGTGCAGAAAGCACGGATTTTGATCACCAGTTAGCGTGTAATGCGACTTTTTTCGAAACATTAAAATAATTTAGAGCACTGTTATTTGGATTTGGCTTGCATTTTGCACTTGTGGTTATGGTCATGCCAAAATCACGTCACCAAAACAAAGATTTTAGATTAATGGTAATTTTTTGAAACTTGATCATTAGTTTCGCATTATTTTTGTTAGTCACTGTACACTGTATTGATTATTCGATTTCTAGGCTATGCTTACGACCCGGATTGCATGTACATAAATGGCACAGGCCGAGATTATTACGAATTTTATATTCAACTCAACCGTTGCGGAACTTTGGGAAAAAACACTCATAATGAAGATAATCGGAAAACTCCTACGGTAAGTGACGCGTCACTGTCAACAGCCCGGGTAGCTCAGTCGGTAGAGCATTGGACTTTTAATCCAAGGGTCCAGGGTTCAAGTCCCTGCTCGGGCGGCCAATTTTTTTACATTTATTTTTGTTACAGAAAAATTTTATGTGGAATACTGTGACGGTCCAGTACAATCCATTGATTGAGGAAGAATACGACGAACATTTCAAAGTAACATGTGAATATGGCTACGATTTTTGGAAAACAGTTACATTTCCGTTTCTAGACGTTGAGTAAGCACATTTTAAATGGGAATTTAATAGTGTCGTTTATAAAAAAGTAAACAATAATATTTTGAGTAAATTTGGACCGTTATCTGCAATGTCACACGATCTGTATCGCGTTTACAAGTTTTTTCGTTGCAGAGTGGCGACTGGAAATCCGGTAGTGTTCACTCTCACACCTCCGGAATGCTACATGGAAATCCGGTATGGTTACGGAACCAGCGGTAATAGAGTCACCGGTCCGGTCCGGGTGGGTGATCCTTTGACCCTCATCATTTACATGCGTAGCAAATATGGTGAGATTTGAACCTTCAAGCTTCACAATCTTATTCATTTCTTTCAGACGGGTTTGATATCGTCGTAAACGACTGTTTTGCGCACAACGGGGGCCATAAGAAAATCCAGCTCATCGACGAATACGGGTATGTGGTGTGATAATCGCAACGCTCCAATAAATGATGTCTCAATCGGAATATTTACAGATGTCCGGTCGACGATAAACTGATTTCGCGATTTCGGGGTTCGTGGTCAGAGACCGGAGTTTACGAAACGCAGGTTTTCGCTTACATGAAGACGTTCCGGTTTACCGGATCTCCGGCACTTTACATAGAGTGCGATGTCAGAATGTGTCACGGCAGATGTCCGGTAGGCAATAAAATTATTACAAAAATAAATTTTACTCTTGCCCAATTTTAGAGCCAACCGTGTCATTGGAGAAACGTGAAAAATAATGTCAGGAAGCGTTCAGTGGATTCAGCTCCTCAAACCACCACTTTGCCGGCAAACATTGCCCCCTTATCAGAAAATGTGAATCTGTTCCAGTCTCTGCGGGTGCTACAAGAGGGGGAATCGGATGAAAATAGAAACGTCACCCTTACTCGCTACGGTAATTGGAGGAAACCCCAATTTCTGTATTTTTCATTAATTTCTGCTTTCTAGAAGTGGACCCAAACAGTGTTTGTCTGAAAACCGGCTGGTTCTCTGCTCTTCTAGCACTGGGAGGGGGCGCAATGTGTCTTTTGGGGGGCGCCCTTTTAGCCACGTGTACACGAATGAGACGAGTTGCCATAGACAAAGTATTAGCAGGGTCCCAGTTTAATGGTTACATGAACCACAAGGGCAGTATTAACTAATTCTAAACATGGACTAATATTTACAGTGCAATTATTAAAAAAAGCTTTATTTTTATAACGCTATATTTATGAGCAACAGTGAGTGATTATGAAACGTATTATTAAATTAAGTAACTAATAAATAAAAAACACTCATTAATTTATTTTACCTAAGGATTAGCAAACAAGCACTAGAATAATGTATTTTAGAAAAAAGTTTCTTTTAGTTTTAGAATACGATAAAATACACATCCATGGAGGATTAGTTTAAAAAATGAGTAAACTTCTTCTTCTGCATGTGTATTGTTAAGTGTGCGTTACAATGCAAAACATGTATCGTACACTTTAAAAACTGTAAATAAACACTTTAGTTTTAGTCCTCAATAAACTTTTGGAAATTTTGAATAATTTATTTTTCCCGCCTTGAATCGCTGTCAAATGTCAAACAAACGTCAAAGTGACAAGACGAAAATGACAACCATTGTTCTGTAATCAATAAAAATAGTTCCACAATAATAATAAAACACACAAATAATCAATTAAAAATGTCGGTTAATCAAGGTTGGTTAAATTAAAAACAGTTTCTTGGGTTATTCACTGGTAAATTGCAGAAAATCGTCCGGAATTGTATGAAGAAGTAAAATTGTTTCACAATGCTCGTGAAAGAGAAAAATACGACAATCTAGCTGATTTGTTTGCGGTAATCAACACATTACAGCAATTAGAGAAAGCCTACATACGAGATTGTGTAACTCCGAAGGAATATACAGGGGCCTGTAGCAAACTCTTGGTGCAATACAAAGCTGCTTTTAGGCAAGTCAAAGGAGATGAGTTTCCTACAGTTGATGCATTTGTTCGCAAATACCGAGTGCGTTCATTCTTTTGCCTTGTTAATTAAACTAATTGGGTTATTTTAGTTGGACTGTCCAGCTGCTTTAGAAAGGATAAAGGAGGATAGACCTATTACTATCAAAGACGATAAGGGTAACACAAGTAAATGTATTGCTGATATTGTTTCTGTAAGTCTTTGTTGTTATTTTATCTTGCCTAAAATACTATTTTTAGTTGTTTATAACCATCATGGATAAGTTGAGATTAGACATAAAAGCGATGGATGACTTGCATCCAGAATTGAGAGATCTGGTCGACACTATGAACAGATTGAGTATTTTACCGTCTGATTTTGAAGGGAAAGAAAAGGTTACAGAGTGGCTCAACACCTTAAACAACATGCAAGCGTCAGATGAATTGTCAGATTCTCAAATAAGACAATTACTTTTTGATTTGGAAAGTTCTTACGCCGCTTTTAATAAGCTTCTACACAATTCATAAATGTAACCCACATTTTTATAATAAAATAGGCTTAAGAATCAACTGCTTGATCCTGGCCTTTCGCTGGGTCCTTCATCAGAATCTACGTCCATGCTAGTGTTGGTATTTGCTTCTTCCCAATCAGCTTTACAAGAGGGACATCTACACTGATTTTGGAGATATTTTTGAATGCAGAAGGCATGAAAAGTATTCTCACAAGACCCACAATTCTTACCCTGAAAATTGTACAGTTTAGTGTCTGAAGTTAGCGCTTTTCAATAAAACTTGCCACAAAAACCAACTCTGAACACAAACTGCAAGTGCAGTTCTCGGTGTTCGTCCTCAAGTATGTTGTAAATTCTAAAATAGTCCTAGCACCCAAATAGACAAACTGTTGCTTTTTTACAAAGTACCCTCCCTTGATCCACTTTATTAGCGCTTTTTCGCCACTTTCGCGAGACAAAGTTCCCACTAAAGTTGAAGTGATGTTAATGCAGCGAGGATACAGCACTTGATGATTCTCTGAAGTGATAATTTCTTGCATTATGGCATGGAAATATTCCAATTCCACTGGCGAAAATCCTAGTTGGTGCTTACTTAACTCGTCATTTTTTGTATTTATCCAGATAAAGACATTTTCACCTGTTACCTCACAAATTGAAGTGGCTATTTTAAAATACTGGAGGCCTATTGCTCTATTAATTTCAATTATCAACGATTTTAAATGAATTAATTGGTTTTGTTCTGAAATTATGGAAATAAGAGACTGCTGAAATAAAAAATAAATTACCTGGACTAATTTCACTGAAAAACTTCAAAGCCTTATCTACAGTCACTAAACCATTAGTCAACATGAACTGAATAAAAAATTTATGTCTTTTACTCAAAGAATGAGCCATTTTTTAGTATTTCCGGAAAAACATAAACATAACCTCACTTGTTAAAATTGCGCCAAAATGCAAAACGTACAACAAAAAACTTAAACTATTACTTTCTCAGTTAAATGCTAAGTAAGGTTCAGTTAAGAGATTAGTTAATCACTTTTTATAATTAAAATTACAATTTTATAATTATAATTTTTTTCCACAAATTTTGACGACTGTCAATTGTCATATGTCAAATAACTGTCACTGAGTTGTCAAAAGTTATGTTTTGTTGGTTTGGTGGAAGTTCTATGAATAACTTTTTTCATGAATAATTTTGTGACGATAATTGAATGCATCTCAAAAAAGGTTTATTTTGGGAACATTTACGTAACTGATTAGTGATTTGTACGCAAATATTGCAAAAGCGATATCTGGGCCAATCAATACTTCTTGACCTGCCCAAAGCATTTTAGCAGTAATAACAGTGAGGAAACTCTTGTAAAAAATAAAGAATTGCAGATTCGTGAATGGCCGTCCACTTCCAGATAAGTCCCAGAGGAATGTTTCAGTTAAACCATGTCTTATACTGAACTGGAGCATGGTTATCAGGGTCTTCGAAAAGCAGCAAGACCCACTCAGTTTTACGTTGGAGCGGTGAGTTTATGTTAATTTTACGAGCAAGCGTTGCTAGAATTTGGTATAACGCACAATTTTTATTTAGTCGTTTCTTTGGTTTCCATGAATTGTGAGCAAATTAAGACGTTCCGGGGGCAGATTATTCCTTCTGTTCTTGTTGAGGATGTCGACAGCCCACTGCTTACAACCTCTTTTTGGGTATTATTTTGCATGCACTGGCTTAACATCACACATTGCCCGCTTTTGTTGCTACTAAATCTTGCCCTAACACAGCATAAGCTGCTTTATTGTGTAAATATTTGTCTCACAATTACAACATTGAGGCGCTCTTTTTGATCAAAGGTTGGGGACCGTTTCCTTATCAAATAATTACGATTTAATTGATCGTGAAATGTGGCCAAACACCTTTATCGCGATTACAAGTGATTTCAAGAGCAGATAAATATTTGTTGCAAAACATTTCACTCAATTTATTAGTTTCATGTAACCTTGGATGAATTGTTTGCTAAATTAATTTCAGCACCACGTACTAGTTAACACTCACTTAGTTTGATAACATAGTAATGGAACCTTTGTGGTTTGTAGAATAGTTAATGGCTTTTAAATGTGATGAGTAAAAAAATGGAGTGGACTTGGTTAAAAGATTGGTGGCGTTTGAAGCGATGGAGAAAAAATAAAACCAACAGTGAAGATAGTGTTTGCTTTTGCGACGAATGTTTACAAGAAGCCGAAAATGTAATCATTTTATGGCTAAATTAACACCGTTTTTCGTAGCACACCACAAACGACGAAAACAGCACTGAATTTGGTGTTTCTAGGGGGACCTAGAGCTATGCGATCCGGGCGATCCGTCCCTAAGCCCCCAAGAATTGGACGATGGGGGCAAAGTCGTCATAGTCGGGGTTTGTGCCATGGCGAAAAAGTCACAAAGCAAGCCAATGAAGGAAATTTTAACTCGGTTACAAGAATTTGAATACATTAAAGTGACTGTTTTTCCCGAAGAGATTATTTTACAAGTACGACTGTTTTTATTATCTTCAAATCGGTAAAGTTGCTGTTTTAGAAACCTGTTGAAGAGTGGCCTGTTTGCGATTGTTTAATATCATTTCATTCCAAAGGTTTTCCCCTAGAAAAGGCCATCCAATATGCCCAATTACATAATCCTTACGTCATTAACAATTTACACATGCAATACGATATTCAAGATCGGAGAAAAGTTTACGCGATTTTGCAAAACGAAGGTATCGAAATACCACGTTATGCCGTTTTGGATAGGGATAGTTCAGATCCAAAACGTAAGTTTGGCTGTGATGTGGGATAGTTTTTGGGGCACAGTTATTTTAGATCATGAATTAGTAGAATCCGAGGACCATGTCGAAGTCAATGGAGTTGTCTTCAATAAGCCCTTCGTGGAAAAGCCAGTCTCGGCCGAGGACCACAACATTTACATTTATTACCCCACATCTGCTGGCGGTGGCAGTCAGAGACTATTCCGAAAGGTAGTTATCCGATTCTTTCATTTGCTTTAAGATTTTTTTCATGTCTCTTAGGTGTGTGTGTGTGTTTTGTTTTATGTATTTTTCAGACTAAGTGTAGCAGGTGTGCGCAAATAACTTGTAATTAATTTAAGCGTTTGTATTATTCCCAGATCGGCAGCAGGAGTAGCGTTTATTCACCGGAATCCAGGGTACGCAAGACTGGTAGTTTTATTTATGAAGACTTCATGCCGACGGACGGCACTGACGTTAAAGTGAGTTCTATTGCGTTGTGATCTAGACACATTAACAAACCGAAAAGTCCCAAATGAAACAGCGGAAAATTGTGTGACTAAAATCAGGAATTCCGCACTGGCCTAGTGTGAAATGCGTTTGCATTGACAGTAGTTAAGGCTTTAATTGTGTTTTAAATGAAATAAATGGAGTGGAAAAGGGTTACTTGTGTACTACTAACTGAAACGACAAGTACTGTATATTGTCTAATGTTCTGGATTTCCCTAGGAAATAAAAGTAAAAGTCGTTAACTACCAATTTCCAAACTAACCACTTACGGTCTAGACATCAACTAATTCGCCCTTTATCACCTCCATTTGTCCGTTTTATTTTTAATAAATAAGTAATGGGTGTGTAAATAAAAATGAACAAAATATCGCTTTGCTAAATCAACTGTTACAATAAAAAAATCGAGTCTTTTTTGCGATTAATAGTTAAGTGTTTCAAAAGGCGAGCAATTTTTCAAGATCAACCAGACTTATTTTTAATAAAAAGTAATATTGGCCCGAATGACTCATTACTTTTTATTGAAAATACCTCCTGCTTTTTCTTACTCCCCCATTTGTGAAGGTCTACACTGTGGGCCCCGACTATGCCCACGCTGAAGCCCGCAAGTCGCCGGCCCTCGACGGCAAGGTCGAGCGCGACCGCGAAGGCAAAGAAATCCGCTACCCAGTGATACTCAGCAACGCCGAAAAACTGATTTCTCGAAAAGTGTGTCTAGCTTTTAAGCAAGCCGTTTGTGGTTTCGATCTCTTGAGGTAAAGTCCCCCCACGTCAGCTCAACCCCTCCAAAATTGTGATTTTCAGAGCCAACGGCAAATCGTTCGTGTGTGATGTGAACGGTTTCAGTTTTGTCAAAAACTCAAACAAGTACTACGACGACTGTGCCAAAATATTGGGAAACATGATCCTGCGAGAGCTTGCCCCCACTTTGCATATCCCGTGGTCGGTGCCGTTCCAGTTGGACGACCCCCCGATTGTCCCCACGACCTTCGGGAAGATGATGGAGTTGCGGTGTGTGGTGGCTGTGATAAGACACGGCGATCGGACACCTAAACAAAAAATGAAAGTTGAAGTTAGGCATCCAAAGTAAGGGAAATATCGCAAAATTCGTTTGATTAATCGGTCAATTGAAGGTTTTTTGAAATTTTTGAAAAATACGATGGGTACAAGCATGGCCATGTCAAGCTCAAGCGCCCCAAACAATTGCAGGAGATTCTGGACACGGCGAGGTCGCTACTCGCTGAAATTCAGCAACACGAAGCTGACCCCGAAATCGAGGAAAAACAGGGGAAATTGGAGCAGTTGAAGGGGGTCCTGGAAATGTATGGACACTTTTCTGGGATTAATAGAAAAGTCCAGATGAAGTATCAACCGAAAGGCCGTCCCAGAGGCTCGAGTTCTGACGATGGTAAAAAAATAGTGATGTTGGTTTTCAAATTGAATTTTTGTTTTATCAGTAGATAAACCTGCCGAACCGTCATTGGTGTTGATCCTGAAATGGGGTGGTGAGTTGACTCCTGCTGGCAGGATCCAGGCCGAGGAGCTAGGAAGGATTTTCCGATGCATGTATCCGGGGGGACAAGGTAGACATTTAGCCGGTTCGTATACAGCTTCTTATTAACACTTAATTAGTTTTTAGCACAGAGCACTTTGATTTGCGTTTATTATTGATTTTATTCGTTTAGTTTTTATTTGCGAAGTCGTTTCTCTGTTTTTCGACGTTATTAGGTTAGTTTAAGTGTCAAAATACACCGCACCGTCTGTGTTGTTTTTGTGACAAATATTCAACTTTTGTTGTACTGTCAGGTTTTACCGATTTTATATTTAAGAGATAGGGTAAGTTCGTGTGTACTTGTTTTTGTTTTGGTATACGCTTAATTAATTTTTAACTACGGAAATTGAGGGACTTGGCTAACTGTGGTAATTATTAAATGTAGCAATTATTTTGAACTCAATTGATATTGAGCAAAAATTTTGTTACAAGTCCTTCATGCACAGTTCATCTTTCATAAAATATTCCAAGACATATCAACATCAACGATTCAATGCGTATAAATCACACCAAAACATTTGTTATTACAATGTTTTTTTTTTCAAATTTTTGTAAGGCAATGTCCTAAAGGTTGGATTTATTTAGGTGAATATGCCGGAGCCCAAGGCTTGGGTTTGCTACGCTTACATTCGACGTTTCGTCACGATTTAAAAATCTATGCTTCTGACGAAGGTCGTGTTCAAATGACTGCTGCAGCCTTTGCCAAAGGTCTGCTAGCTCTAGAAGGAGAACTGACACCGATTTTAGTACAAATGGTCAAGAGTGCAAATACTAACGGTTTATTAGACAACGATTGTGATAGTAGTAAATATCAAAACATGTAAGTTGGCTTAAATTATGAAAATAATTGATCTGAAAGAGGTAATGTATACAGGTGCAAGGCACGCCTTCATGAGCTAATGCAACTCGATCGGGATTTTACTCCTGAAGATAGAGAAAAAATCAATCCTTGTAATTCTTCAAGTATTACCGATGCTTTAGATTTTGTGAAAAATCCGGTCAAGTGTTGTAAACACGTGCATGAGTTGATAAAGTCGCTAATGGAGATAGTTCAAGTGAAGAAAGAGGATGCGAAAACAAAAGGTTGGTTCAATTATTTTTTCAATTACACTACTCTAAAAAATTAAAGGAACAAAAAATTTCCCTATATTTTTTTGTGATTTTTGAAAGGCTGTCGAAAAATGACCGTATCTAGAAAAAAACATTTTGAAGCTTTAAGTTTTGAAATCTTTTTTCTGTACCACGGTTATCATGCAATCCTAAGTAATAGCGCCAAGAAAAAGAAATTCAATTTTTTTTTTGTTGGTCCATGGACGTGGGTATTTTTTTTAATTTAGTTTTTTAAAACTTTGGGCAATCGCTCCGAGAAAATGGTTCGATGGATCGATTTGAAAGTTTACAGGACTATGGAGGTTACATTAAGATGTAAAAACACCTAAAAACATCAGTCTCCCTATCAATATTAGTGAATAAGCGGTAGATTTACTAAAACAACGCAAAAAATTGCTTTTTTCTCTTTTCTTTAAATCAATGTTGAGGATGAAAAATATATTTGCCAAAAAATTATAAAAGGAGATTATAAGACATTTATTACAGTTTTTGACACTACCGTTATATTCTGTGCGATTATTGGTTGCTGATATATCGATGATCAAAGACAAAAGGATCTTTTTTCATTTAAAGTAAGATATCTCAGCGACAAATTGACGTAAAGTGAATATGAAAAAAGCATATTAAACTTGAACAAACATCCGACCTATGTATTGACTTAACTAAAAAGAAATCCTCACGTCCGTAAAACAAAACAAAAATATTTGTTTTTTTTTCTCGAGCTATTACTTGTAATTGCGTTATAACTGTAGCACAGAAAAAAAATTGCCAAAAGATCTCAAAACTAGAAACTTAAAGCTTCTAAATGTTTTTTTTAATCTAGATACGACTATTTTTAGATGAATTACAGCCTTTCAAAAATCACCAAAAATTTAGGAAAATTATTTGTTCCTTAAATTTTTGGGGTAGTGTAGTTAATTGTGTTACTCGTAGATGCCATTTTATATCACGGTGAGACTTGGGAATTGATGGGGCGTCGATGGGGCAAAATCGAGAAAGATTTCTACACGAAAAATAAAATTTTCGATATAAGCAAAATCCCCGACATTTATGATTGCATCAAATACGATTTGCAACACAACCAACACACTTTACAATTCGAACAAGCTGAAGAACTGTACATTTATGCGAAATACTTGGCCGATATTGTGATACCTCAAGAGTACGGTTTGACAGCGCAAGAAAAATTGACTATCGGTCAGGGGATTTGCACTCCACTTTTGAAGAAAATCCGGGCTGATCTTCAACGCAATATTGAAGAATTGGGCGAAGAAACTGTCAATCGACTCAATCCGCGATACTCCCACGGCGTGTCAAGCCCCGGAAGACACGTCCGGACTCGGCTTTATTTCACCAGTGAAAGCCACGTTCACTCGCTCATTACGGTCTTACGCCATGGCGGTTTATTGGATGTAATAATTCATATGAAAAATGAAAATTGTGATTGTAATATTATTTTTTGAAGATTAAACGGGACGAGCAGTGGCGGCGTGCAATGGAATATGTATCAATGGTTTCCGAATTGAATTACATGTCTCAAGTTGTCGTCATGTTGTACGAAGACCCGACTAAAGATCCCTGTAGTGAGGAAAGATTCCACGTTGAATTGCATTTTAGTCCAGGGGTGAACTGTTGCGTCCAGAAAAATCTACCTCCGGGGCCTGGTTTTCGGCCACATTCGAGGAATGAATCAACGGCGAGTAAAAATCCTGTAATAGATATTTTTTCTTGTGGAGTTGTTGTATCTGACGAGGTTTTTAACACAGAGTTCAGATACTTCAGCCACTGCAACTCCTGATGATTCCAAGGGCCAATGCTCGGCCCGAATTGAGGAAGAAGAAGAACGGATTGAAGAAGAGAAGCCTGCGATTGTCGAAGCGCCTAGTGCTATGGAACTGTCTCCGGAAACGTCACCGGAAAAACCGTACTATCGACAGTACGTCAAGTCAAGTGATCCCATCCCAATAGGGTAATTATTATTACATGATGTTTTGTATATAGTCCAAAAAAAAATGCCAAGTAAAATATGATACCAGGAATATTAGAAAAATGTTAAAAAATTCTATGTATAAAAATTTCGAAGTTATGGGAGTTTCAATTTTACACTTTGCCTCTATTTATTTCTATTGGAAAAAATAATTTTCCAAGTTTTGTTGCTACAGGCTAATAGAAGAGGAAACAAGGAAGCTGTGTTCTAAATTGTAACTGTTTAATGTTATTTTTTGCTTTTATTAGCAAAATTTTTGTACTTTTCCTAAGTAATTATAAAAAAAACATACAGGCGCAGCCTACATACAAGATCATCAGTATCATTAAAAAATAGACATAAAATAAAATGTCAAATGTCAAAAAATAAATGTCAATTTTTTGACAGATAGAATGTTTTGAATATTTTTTCCATGTTTCTGGTCGTTTCTTATCTTACTTGAAATATTTCTCTGAGGCGCGAGTTCTGACACACCCTGTATTTATTAAATGTCGGTACTTTTCAAATATTGATTTTACTTATTTTTCTATTAATTTATTTTTGTTTGTAATGCTTTAAAAACCATGGATTTGAAACGATTTTAGCACTTTTGTTATAAATGTTGAAAATACTTTTCTGGTGCTTTTTAATTTGAGTAAAACACGACCAAATTGGAAAAATAATTTTACATCTCTTTTGCTACAGACTGTTAGAAGAGGAAACAAGAACGCTGTATCCTGAATTGTAACTATGTTTAACGTTATCTGTAGCTTTTATTGACAAAGTTTTTGTATCTTTACTGAATTATTATGAAAAAACATACACAAGATCATCGTTAACAATAGACATAAAATAATGTCAAAAATTGACAGATTGAATTTTCTAAACATTTTTTTAATGTTTCTGGTATCTTGTCTTACTTGTCATTTTTTTGGTCTATTTACAAAACACCCTGTATTAAAAAAATATTAAATAATGTAGTTGTTTTTTTTATTTTGTGTAGAAGTTCTCACACGGTAAGCGGTCATGAAGCAATGCATCTAGCCCAACGTTTGAACGAGGAATTGGCCCAACAGAGTAGCAGGAGCTACGGCATAAATCGAGCCATAAGTCCGGAACCAGAAGCCAGATCGAGGAGCTACGACCACAAAAGTCCGCAAAAAGGGAAAGGTGAGACGAGAGTGAAACCAGTTGTGGTGCTTCCCAGGTTAGCCGGGCGCTGAGCAGATTAAATTACGCCATTTTGATTGTGCTTTAATGCTGGGTTTGTGACGTAATTTAGTTTGAGGATCGGGTTTTGATGCACTGAAATGAGGATTCAGTGGTGTCTTATGTTTGGATTTAATCGCATGTCGGTCTTAACACGCTACTAATTTGTTTGGGCAGCTGAGAAACTGCATCAGAGTCTGGACGCTGTTAACAGCAAAGGTACGCAAGCCCAAGTCTCCCACCCCCCGCCGATAGTCTCCCAAGTTTTAGTTACTCTCGAATCCAATAATGTTTTGTTAAAAGTTTTCAGGATTATTCCAAACACACACGTGTTAAATTATCGATCGACTACATCAAACTTGATTTTGTTTCCGTGTCTTTTTTGCCTCCACATCTCTGCTTTGTCTGTTTTTTGGAACGGCGTAGGATTGTTCGGTAGAAAAGCACGCATCTTTACCGACACGTAATAATATTGTTACCTTGAGCACTTTACCGAACATTCTGTTTGTTGCTGGATGTGTCCGAAATTTCTTCACGCGGACTTTACAAAGTCGACTGTGGCGAAATTTCGGCTTGCCTTAGCATGAGCAAAGTCAAGTTGATGTGATAATTGAACTCATCTGTCTGGTAGAACCGTGCGACTGGTGTTTTCCATGTGACCGGAAGTACACCTTATTCTTAACATTTTTAACAAAATGGTATAGAGTTTGGTGCACTTCCGATATGCTCCCTTTATCGGCCACTTGTTTTCTTAATGTTCGGATTCATTTCATGCTCGCTTCGCTCTCTTTTTGCATGTCTCTTCTCTAACGGTATTGTAATTTTTTGGTTTGCGTGATTTTTGTGCAACTAAAAACAAGGGAATCTCTGTTTTGGCAGCGAATCTCTTGTTAATTGTAATGTTGGTGGTAGAAATTTACTGACTTGAATCTTTTTTTCTCTTCCAAACCCTATGCTTCGCTTCCTTTGTTTGTTTTAACGGTGATTCATTCAAACACATTTAACTCTTGCGATTGTTTGCTTTGTTTTAATTCGAACACAGAATCGCCCCATAACGATACAGACTCGTCTATAACACCCACAAATGTCCCTGTTACACCACCTATTGAGATTCCTGTACGTACCGTCGACCCAAACATACCACTAGACTCTTGTCCCTATTCGTTCAAACCGATTTCGCAAGACAAATCGGACCTTAGTCCGATTTCTGGATCGTTTGAAGCCGATTATAGAAGTGATTTAGATTCACCACTAACACTCAAATCCCCAGAAGAGACTCCAAAATCGCGCCCCGAGAGCGCTACCAACGAATTACCTTTAACTGAATTGAATTTAGCTCTCTTTACTTCGGAACAAGAAACTCTGAACTCGTCCAAAATGAGCACAAACGAGTTACCTCTTTCCGATATTAAATTGAGTAAACAAAACACAGTCGACAGTCAGTTAGACGATGTTTCTCTTGAAGTAAACTGGGAAGGTGATGATTCGGGTCAGACAAATGTCAAAAGTTTCACCCAAGAAAAGCGTCACCGGTCATTTTCCGACCCTAATATCCTAGATGGCGAAAAATTGTTTCTCTTAGAAAAGTACAGTGAGAGTCTTAATTGTGACGGTACGTCCAGGAGTCCCTCTTGTTTGACCCCTGGCGAGACTCCTCGTATCCCGTTCAGTTTTTACCCCCAGCACGCGCCCCCTTGTTCGCTGTGTTGTACGCCGTTCACCCGCTCCCCGTCGTACCTGTTGTCGTTCTTTTCTTCGCCCCCTCGCGCCTCTCGCTCACTATCTAACCCCAGTCCCGGCGTGTCTGTGAACCACCCGTGCATGTCCGATACAGAGTGCAACAACGCAACAGTCAGACGCCACCGTCACAGTATTGCCGGACAGATGAGCTATTACAAGATGCTAGGGTTCGGTTGTGGAGGACCTCTAGGTTTCAAGAAGTTGGCGGCGGGAAGCGGCAACTCCCTGTTCTCGACGGCGGTGATCTCTGGAAGCAGCAGCGCCCCGAATTTGCGAGACATGATCCCGAGCACGGCGAGTGCGTCTGGTGAGTGTCGCGATGCGAAAAGTCCCATTGCAAATTTTGTTCACGGGAGATTTCATACAGCTATTGAAGGTTTCGGAGGAGTGCCCCCCATTCGGCCCCTGGAGACGCTCCACAACGCGCTCTCGTTGAAACAAATCGACACGTTTCTGGAGCATATGACGGCGGCGCCGCTGTTTAGGACGCCGTCGTCGACGCCGCCGAAATACCCCTCTACGCCCTTGCCCACGCCCACCAATGGGGGGGCCACAGTGGCGGCCAACGTAAAATTGCAATCGCCCAGCAATAGTAAATGACCGGTTTGTATACGTCGGAGATTTAAAAAAAATAAGTTTTGTAGGTGTGGGGTGGAGCGGGCCGCCCAGTTTTGTCTCAAGTAGCGGGCCCTCGTCACCGGGGGCTTCCGAAAATTCCAAAGAGAGTAGCGAAATGTCGTCCAGTATCATCAGCAGTGATGGGTACTTAGCTAAATTCAATAAATAAATAAATAGCAAAATTCTTACTTCTTTTTTATTTTATTTATTTCACCATTCCTCGGTCTTATTGTGCATGGGCGTTTGTCAAGATTTGTTTCCCCAGGTAGTGTATTTTGTTGTGTGTAGAACTGTTTGCGTGTTCTTTACTTTTTTCTGCTTGAATTCTTTTTTCTGTTTTTCATTTCCGGTCATGTTGATTGGATTTTCTTATTTAGGATAAATGTCGACAATTTTACAAAAATTTTCCCAACGGCTCCTGGCTTGGATCAGGATTTGGGAAATGTTGGGATCTTGTTAGACCTCGACCGGGAGATTTCCGGATCGATGGAATTCTCAGAATATTACTCCCAACTTCATAGACCTCCACAAGGTAACTATTTATTGTAGTTTCACCATCAACTTGAGTGCTTGTAGGGGAAAGTGGGGACGTAACTCCGGTTTCCGGCGGGTCGGAAGTTGAATTTAACACAAATGATGCAACTGCGGGATCAACAGCAGATTGTGACGTCACAGTTACAGAAGATATTGATTCTTGTTTCTTAGGAGATGACGATGTTATCGATAAGAATCCGTTACCTGGTATGATAACAAGTTTGACAGAAAATAATTTAGTATGTCAAGGTATCACAACTCCTAAAGTAATTTCGCCACTGAACACCAACGTCAGTATTTACACAAATGTGCTACATCCGTCGAATTCAGACAGTTTTACTCTAAAACACATCGAAAATTCCGAGAGGTTGCAAACGTCCACCAATCGAATATTCAACGATTTCGACAAAGGCAAAGATTTGAAAAACTTGACCAAAAAATCAAACATCTACGACAAAGACATTCCAAGTTCAAGCAAAAACATATCCGGTTTAGGTTCCGACAAATGGTGCACAAGCAAAGAAAAATTCCTCGACAGTATCCCCCTAAAACCTGGAACTCCCGAGAAGAAGCCTGACCAGAAACCAAACCCGGGCACAGTTGTTGTGAAAGAGCACTACATAGAGCCCCCTAGAATGACCCGAGTTTCGAGGAGTTTCCACGGAAAGTCTCCCACCAGTAGCAGTTACCTCGACATATCAAACGCTGTTCCTCGACGGGCCAGCGAAGGAGTGCCCCTAACCAGTCGAAACCTAAATTTGCAACCTGAAACCTTAAAGCAAGACTTGCAAAACTCGGACAATAGCGCTAGACGAAAAAGTAAAATGAAAACGCCTCGTCCACAGTTCATTACGCAACTGTCCCAACCTTGTGGCAGCACATTGCAGTCCCCCAATGTAGTCTTAAGGAAAACTTCTCTTTGTGATGTAAGTGTGAGCAAAAAGAGGTTTACCACGACTTTGGTTGATGAAGCCGAACACGCCGCATCGGTGGGAATTAGTGTGAGGCCTGGAGGATGTGATAAACAAGAGGATGAGGACAGTGTGTCTAATAAAAAATTCTATTTTAGGAGTTTCAGTAGTGATAAAAATGATAATAAATAGGTGTTATATAATTTGGGATTGTTATTGGACTGAAGGTATTGTTCCAAATAAAGTTTTTTAACGTTTCTTTGTCTTTATTTTCCTCTTGAAACATGACATAGGCCTAAAAGCAAATTTCAATCTTCCACTCTAGCTTTATCTAGACAAAATAAGCTAACCCTAGATGTGGGTAGTGTGAAAACACAAAGAAAAAACACCCTTATTTGAGCTTTTATCAGTCGTAAACACATACAGTGAGTCACCATTTAATGTATTTGCACTATGTGACGTCTAATGTTACGTCCATTTGTGCATAGGGGATTACCCCTGCTAATAGTGTGGATTAATTTTATTACAGACAAAATGAATGACTTTTTAGGGTGCGCAGTTTAATTACAGAAAATTATATTCTTTAACTATATGTACTGTAATTAACGAAACTTATTTCGAAGGATCATAGTTATGAAATAAATAAAAGTTTTTTCATTCTAATGAGTGGTCATAAAATTCTCGTTTATTGATTTATGGGTGCTTGTCCGATCAACAAGGAAGATTCTTTAAAGAAACCTTTCCTTTTTGCTAATTCTGTAATCAACGGCAGACAATTTATTTATAAATTTACCGGAAATCCCACACAAAATTGTGCGGATCTTCATATCAAAAACGGAGAACAGTTCACAGTTCTAAGAAGGCTTAACAAAAATGAATTATTCAATTGTAAAAAAAATACATACAGGATAAACATAAAGTATAGAACCAAGCGTTTTTTTTAATCATTTACCTCCAGAAAGTAATAATTAATATAAATCAAAGTAATATAAAAAATGTGATCGTATTTTGAGAATGAATTTTTCTTGTTTTTGAGTTATGCGATCAAAATGGCACTTTATGTAAAAAAAAATTTAGATAAAAGTTAAATATAAAGTAGATAGATGTAATCCTTAGATCATAACCTTCATGAGAAAAATCGTTTTATAGTGGATTGCCATTTAAAAAAATTAATTTTTTTTGCAGAACTCAAAAACAAAAGAAAATTTCCAAAAATCTTATTGATAAAACGTCACATTTTTATAGTACTTTATCTTTATCATCAATTGTTTTTTTCCAAATAATAAATAGTCTAAGCAAAAAACGTTGGTTTTATACTTTTTATTCAGCTGAATGTAATCTCAAAAAATGTTAATAATAAGAACTACAAATTCAAATACTGGAACGGTATTGAAAAAATGAAAAAAACTATTTCAGAAAGTGTGCCGATGTTTTCGTAACAAATTAAAAATAGATTCACAAAACACTTAAAGTGTAACAATTTGCAGAAAAATCTACCTTCGTAAGCCAGAATTTTTTTAAGAAGTTTAAAAATAATAATGCCCTCGACTTATTTTGTAAAAAAATGCACTAATTTTGTTCTTATTTCATTAAAAAAAAAACGAACGAAATAAGAAAAAAGAAGAATCATTTATTTCTTAAGAAAGTTTGTATTAAAACGGAAATTGGTATTTTAGAATGAAAAAATCCTGACGTCATTTCCAGCGAAATTTGAACTTAATTAATTTTACCATTTGCCAAACTAATCTCCGCGCTAAATTTAGCATCAATTTTGCATAAACATCGAATCATAATTTATCTTGAGCACCTAACATAAAGCTAATTGAAGCATTGCTCACATACTTGTTGATATTAACGCACATAAAAACAAGTTTGCAATTATTTATTTTATGAAAAAGCAAAGTGTCGATGTGCATGAGTATAAAAAGCGAGTTGCATCACTTTAAATTTCTCTCTACATCCATGCACTTAAAAAACTTTTCTTTTTTCCTCGTTAATTGTCATGCATTTCAGAATCCCGAAGTAATGTGATATTAAACATTATGTATAATGACCCTTGAGAATATGCAAGACATCCGTTGAACGGTACGTCGAGCTTCATGTAGAATATATAATTAAATAGAATAGACTCAACCAGTTATTTGTTGACATTTGAGAACACTTGGGAATTGTGCCATGTATCATGAATAAACCGGCAAAACGGAAATAGTGAATTCGAATTTCATTTCCGATGGAAGATGGACGCAAATAAACGAGAAAAAACAATATTTGAATTGTCTAATCTCCACTTTCGTTTCCTTGGACTTATCATGTTTAAATAATTTGATTGTGGAATGTAGATACAGATGTACGATCAAAATATCAACAAAGAAAACGGCGCAACAATTCTATAAAATGGGTTTGTGTGGCGGAGCGTGCCATCAGTGGCGTAACACACATTTCCCAATTTCCACCAAATTAATTGAATCTAAAACTCTTTATTTTTCTTCTTTGCGCAAAAATTTGGGTACCGTAAAACTTTTCTCCACCATGCACTTATCGCATTTATGACCCAAATAAATTTATCATTAAAAAATCATTTAGTTGGTAAAAGAGACGTAATCATGTTATTTCAGCTTAAGAACGACGGCACGCCCATGGAATTCACCCCACATGACGCGAGGCATATGCAGCTGTTTGATAAGTACGTCCCCCATGCTGCCGTTACGCTGCAAGCTCTTTAACAACCACCAGGCGACCAGTCATCACCGGGCCGTGCCCTAAACGACTACAAATGACGGTTACGAAAGCATTTCCACTTTAAAACAATTCAAAAGTGACAAAATGGCAACTCGGACTCTTCCGAAAAACTTCTACTCAAACCCGGCCTTCAGTCAACAAAGTGAGTTTTACAACGGGAAGCCTCTGTCTCAAATCGTCCAAAACGTCCGGCAGTCACCTGTAGGGGCCCAAACCCAGCCCCAATACCAAGAAAATGAACAGTACTACGACGAAGAATTTTATGAAGAAATGATCGTCGACGACGACGGAATCATCAAACAGAAGAAAGTCTTTGTAGTATCCTCGCCCACCAAGGACCAAGAAAGGTACCAAAAAACAAAATCCCGGTATGAGTACATCCCACTGCAGGAGCAAAATCGGTACATAATTTGCCAACAAAATCCACCGCAAGTGCACTACGCCGAAGAATTCGTCCAAGGTAGACCCAACCACCGCTACGAATACATCCCCGAGGATTCCCCGCCAAAATCCGTTACCCGGAACCGTTACGAGTACATCCAGTTTGAGCCGCCAAGTCCCCGGAAACCCTCCGGAAACCCCATCGCCACCCAAAAACTCCACGAACTCCTCTCAACTCCCAAAAAATCGCCCTCTGTAAGGTCCCCCCACGCCCAACGAAGAGTCCCTGCGTCCCCCCAACACGACCCTTTCGTAACACCGCGTAAAAGTCAAACTAGGCAAAAACTGAACTACGCCCTCGGCACGCGCCAAATCCAGGATAAACGCCACACGGCGATTGTGGCCCCCATGTGCTCCAGCCCCCAAAGTGTCTACAGTGAGACCACATTTTCGCACAAGAGCGACTCGTGGATGAATTTGGGGCCGAAGAAGCCGACCCAAGTGACGTTGGCTGTGGCGGCGGTGATGATGATGTTATGCGGGGGGGTCACGTTGGGGCTGTGTTTCTACATGGTGTCCATCATGGGGCGGTTGTATTTCCTGGATTTCGGGATTGTAGCCGGATTTACTTGTCTGGTGTTGGGGTTTCTGGGGTTCAGGACGAGGAACTGTTACTGGTTGCCCAACCGGAACTACATTTCCGGTGAGTCCGGACTGGGTTTTTTATTTTTTTTTAATGGTAATGTTTCAGGTTATATCGTTTTGAGTGTGTTTAGTCTTCTGATGTGCGCGGGGCTGTTGGTACTACTTGTATTGCAACCCAAGCCGGGCACACCTCTCGCGGATATGACTTCCGGTGCGGTTTGCGGTATTTCCGTTTTGTCACTAGTGTTGGCATCTGCAGGAGTGATGACCAGTTACTGTTGTAAATATCCTCCCCCTGATAACAGAGTGGAACACAGTGTCCCAGGATTCACGGTTTAAAACCTCGTATTTATGCTAAAGTAATATATTTATTATGATTTATAAAATTTAATCAGCGGAAATTGTAAATAATATTTATTGTAGGTATTGATTGTTTTTATATAATAAACGGTTTTACAACAATGTAGTGTCTTTAATCGCTATTTATTGAACCGTTCGATACTCGGCGAAATTGTCAAGCTTTATAGCTTTGTGCCAAATTCCGATCAAGTAATTTAACTTTTTCGTAAGTGAGCTGAAATTAATGGATTTTTTAGTTACTTTCATTTAACAGTAAATACGATTTTTGTACGTCTTTGCATATCAAGTCATCAAAAATCCAACCAAGTTATTCAGCGATTAGAAATTTTAATGTCTTTATAAGTTTCAAGACAGGTGAATGTCGGACAAAAAAATTCTTAATTTATTTCACTCGGCAAGAGGAGTAAATCACTTTTTTGTACTATTCCCACTTGGCACATTTGCAGGACGTTAAATTACATTTTAATTAAAAAAACAAACAATTATTAAGTTTTTGTAGAAAGTGTGCGCGCTTTCAAGGTGTGGGAGTGCATTAACGAAAGTGTAATGTATTCATTCGTAATTCACACTAACGAAACAGTACAAAACAAAAACTGCATTGTACATTTTTTTAAAATAAAGCCTTGTGGAGGTCTAATTTTTTTGTGGAAAAGAAATAAATAACGCGTCTCAGAGCATAAAATTTGTGGTCGTCCACACATGCATCTGTTGAAATAAAAGTCTAAAAGCACCTGCCACAGAATGCTAGGTTAAAATTCGTATCTTCGTAAAATTGCTGTTTCCCCCATGAGGAAGATATTTCACGTGGGACAGACTTCGTGATGTCTTGATGAACTTTAGCGCAAGGTAAACAATGGACTTAAATTAATAACAGTGCATTCTGCGAGTTGATTATGCATATTTATGTAATTTTCATAATAGAATATACTGTATGAATAATTAAGATGCTTTTAATTTATTCAATGTCAAAACAGCAACGCAGTAAAAAAGGGAAAACCGGGAAAGTAACGCATCATTAATTCATAAGGCTAAATTGACATCACGTCAGATTCCCTTCGCTTTGCATATAACGGCTATCCAGACTTCGTTATGACTAAAGACTATCACCGGATTTTGTTCTCGGAGAAAAATTAATTTAAACAAAAAAAATTAAATAAAACGACTTCTAGAATTTCGAGAATGCCTTTCTGATTCTCCTATTGTTATATTCTCGGAAAGTGACACCAACCACCCCATTTATTGAGTCTCCCTGTCACAAAAAGATATTTATAAGGGTTCCACGAACGAAGACAAATTTTACGGTTTTTGGTCTTTTCATGTGTTACTCCAAAAAAATATTTCGTAAATTTTTTGGTGATATTTGAAAGGCTGTATCTCATCGAAATATTGTCGTATCTAAATTTAAAAAAGAAACATTATAAAGCTTTAAGTTTCTAGTTTTGAGACTTTTGGCAAACATCTTTTCTGTGCTACGGTTATCACGCAATCCTAAATAATAGCGCGAGAAAAAAAATAAACGGGCACAAATGAATTATTTAAAAAAATTGCTAAAACTCTAAATAAAATACCCATTTTATCCGTTAATTAGATATTAAATTCATAAAATATTTTTTTAAACAAATTAGAAATAAGCACAATTGAAATAGCATCAGTTTAAGTGAGCACAAAACGTATAGAACCCGATGCTTATTTTATATTAAATTAAAATAAAATTTTCGAACGTCAACTTAGCCCCCGAATTTGAATCTTTTTTTTTGTTTATTTAGAAAAGAGCACAATTGAAAAAAAATAGTACAATTGAGCACAAAACGAGCACAATTCATTAACGTAAAAAAAATTAAAGTCGGGGGCTTGAAAAAAGAATATTAAAGGTAAAAACATGCTATCCGGCCCATGTATTGACTTAACTAAAAAAAATCCCCAAGTCCGTGGACCAAAACTAAAAACAAAAAAAGTTTGATTTTTTTTCTCACGCTATTATTTAGGATTGCGTGATAACCGTAGCACAGAAAAAATGTTTGCCAAAAGATCTCAAAACTAGAAACCTAAAGCTTCATAATGTTTTTTTTAATCTAGATACGACCATTTTTCGATGAGATACAGCCTTTCAAATATCACTAAAAAATTTACGAAATATTTTTGTTCCTGAGTGTTGTATTTTCTATGAGAAATAAAAAAAATTAATTTGGGTGTTGGAGTGAAAAAATCGAGAAAAATAGAACTAAAACTTTTACGACTGATTACTCATAAAGGCACCTTTAATAGCATTTCTATTTATTTATAAATATTTACAATTTCTCATTACTTCGTTACTACCGCTCCATAACTGCTCTATTAATACCAATGAAAAGGAAGTGAAGAAAGTCTTTACGAGCCTAATAAAATCTGGTTTGGATGATTTGTTTTGGAACATGAGGACTGAAATGGAAGGTAATTGCAGCAAACGATTTCCTCGGTTTGATAAGAGCACAGAAGTTGCGCTGGGAGCAAACCGTTACGGTCCATCGCGTAGAAAATAAACCAAGAATATCTAAACCGCAAATGCAAAATTGTAAAAACAAAAGGAGAAGTCTCCCATTATTCTCTACACTTCAACTTAATGTCACTTCTGATGCTAACAAACGTGCAACACGTGAAAAACGCATGTGAACAATTTCTTTCGTCTATTTACATAAATATGTGACGAGGTAAACTTGAAATAGACATTGTGTTGTATGTATTAACATTACATCTCATGTAGATCTTAAGATAGAGAATTTATAAACGATTTCAAGGCTACTAACCAGAATGTGATATGACCCACATACAATCATTGCAACTTGCACTTAATTGCTGAAAAATGATTTTTGCGCCATTGTCGCTTAATTGATCTTATCTCTGTTACACTTTTCAGTTTCTCTATTATTATTTAATCAATTTGACGAGTGAAACGAAAGTTTGGAAGAAAGCGACCGCGAAAATTCGTCAATGACTATCCAAACCCTTTCGCTGTTTTTTTTTTTTTGAAATTATCTTTATGGCTAAATTATCTTTAGCCTAAAATGATAGGTAATGGTAATGGTAATAGAGGGAAGTGGCAACGTCGGAGGCAACAGCTGGCAAGAATGAACACCGCACGGCGTTTCGTCAGTTTGAACTGAATGGTTTGAATTGTAAGTAGCCCAGGTGCGATAAATTGATATTAATTTTTTTTAACTATTGTGATGGTGTAGTGTATTTTTGGATTCAAATAAGGTACCGGTATATTTTATTATCATAAAAAAAGTTATCGCTTTAACAAAAAATACCAATCGAACTTTCTTGGTTTTGCTACATTATTTTTTACGCAATGTTTTAGCAATAAAAGCAACTGCGCAATGTAATAATAATTCAATAAAAATGTACGTGGTGATGTGGTGCATGTCACCTGTTGAATTTTTCGTGACGTTTTTTCCGGAAAATCACAAAGTTTACTTGAGGAAAACTGATTTATGTTTATTGTTATTATGAAGAGTATCGTAATTGGGTAATTTATTATTATATAAGACAAGTTTCTTCTTGATTTTCAAGGATTTTTTAGTGTTTGTTGTGGTTCACACGCAAAAAAGCGGTGACATTTTAAATATGTTCAGATGTGATTAGCCTACTCAGAATGCGGCCTTTGTATAATAATTAACCAATTATGCCCACTATGCACTTAAAAAACTTTATATTTATGCAAAATTTCAATTTTTTATGAAATCATTATTATCTCATTTATTTTATTAGACTTCTACAATTCAGAGAATGGTAGCACTAAAAATTTCTCAAATTCTGAATCTGGAGCAGTTTACATTTAGGGAAATTCTTCTCACAGTTCATGACAACGATATGATATATGAAAATGGCTCTTTAAAATTCGTTTCAGTCTGTTACCCACGATACAGTACAATTTTAAAGTCTTTTGACTCTCCTAACAATTATAATGTGCAACAGTGAAAAGTTAAACCAGACAGAGACAGTTAAAAAATGATTGTAGGTTGTTATATTTTTGTGATATTTTGATAAAACTGAAAAAACCAACTTTATCAGAAAAATCATATCACTTCGCTGACAATCCCAATGTAAATATCGTAGGATGACATTCCAGCGATGAATACAAAGACGCTATTAGCTCTGTTGTGATCTTTTTACATTCCGCTTCGTCTTTTAAGAAATATCTAATGAAATATCAACTGACTTGTTGTTAATATTTTCCTGTTTCTACAGTTTTAAGAAATGTAATGTAATTATTATTTACAAGCCCTAACCTTTCCGAGGTCGAGAAATATGTCATTACATCCCTTGGTCAGGAATGTAAGATCACCAAGATTACGTCAAAAACGCATAGCAACCACGTCAAGGCATCAACTTTGACCGAAAAACAAATACATATTTTATTATTTAAACGAAATGTGATTCTGAAGAAAATATAGTATACAAACATCGGTGGGCAAATTTGATATACACCTCGATTATACTATTAATACTAACTCGCCTAATTGTATTACTTTTTTTACTTAATTACTAATTTCATAGTAAAATGAAAATAACAACCCTACCGCGTTATTCATGTTACAATAATAGCTTCAAACAATTGTAAACTGATTCAGAATATTAATAAAGGGAACACTTGTTAAAAATAGCCCCTAAACATATGATAGCAACCCCTCAAAACACACCCTTCTTCTATTGTTGCTTTAAAATGGATTCGTAGCGGAATTTGCTCAACGACGTATCTTTGTAACTGGACACCTGCAAAATTAAAAAAAGGCCCTACCTATATTATTCATACTAAATGTAATAATTTTCATTTTACCATTTTAGTCCATTAATTCAATATATTTTTAATAATAAAAATGATCCTTTTTGTTGTGTAATTCCGATACCTTGCGTTTTTTATTCATTTTAAGTTTCCAACAGAGTCTGCATGGTATGAAAGCTTACTCCTCGATATTTACTTTGATAAATTTATACCCACACGTATATCATTTCCGCCTACTAATTTGGAAAGTAACAATGCAACAGCATTGTCAACATTAATATACATAATTGTTTCGAGTTATAAAAGTATTAACCTACTAATAAAGTTTTTGTTAATGCTTACACCTTGATGAATAGACATGATCCATAAGCAGGTCTTTAACTTTTCCAAATAAATCGAAGCCGTTGACCCAACAATGAAATCACTCGCCAAATAATAGGAATAAATTGTGCAATATAAAATTTTATTTACTTTTTCTCGTTTGTTTAGTAAGATAAATACAAGTTTCGATTCGTCCCCAATTACATAAGCAATGCAAAAACTTTCGAATAAAATTTGCATAATTCCAAAATTAATTTTGGTAATTATTGCAAACCCGTTTTTGGTTTGAAACTTCACACAGTAAATTATTTGACGAGGGATTCAGCAAGGTCGTGTTTGTTTTACTCGACAAGGTGCGTTTATCATGCCCTGTTATGAAAATAAAACAATAGTGAATGAAAATGCGCGGAAAGTCGATAATCATTTCCACTGAACTGATAAGTGTTAAAGTCGCTGAATTCCCAACGTTCCAAAGATAAAACTTCCGGATGTGAGGGAACAAGAACTTGTCTTGCGCAAGGCAATTAAACTGCACTTAATTCAATAAAATCTGGAAGATACAAAAGAGAGACTTTCCTTCATTATATCTTCACGCTATGACTTAATTGCGGTACTGTTACGTAAACGTGATGTTTTCACATTTATTCAAATTGAACTTCCCATTTAAACGCGTTGTTAAACTGGATGTAATGGAATATTTCTTTTAACTAATTTTAATGTCATTTTCACATGAATACACGTGACAATCATACATATTCATTGTTTGGTAACAAAGCGGTCTTGTGCATCACTTTCTAAAGCCATGTTTTTGTTCCAGATCTTCCAAACGATTCAAGATGTGATAACGGAACACACAAGAAAGTCCAGTGAAAATGGAGAGTATTTACAAAATCAAGATTCGTTCCAATCCAAATCCTCGCGATTTGTACCCTTCGGAACGAAGATACTCATCCTCGATTGTCCTAGGATTAAGTATAATGTTTCTGGCGTTGGGAGTAACCTCGTGTTTGATGGGAACTCTTGTCGTGAAAAAAATGACAACGAATCACACCCAAGAATCTTTCAATCAAACCACTAGTAACAATACTGAAGAGTTTCTCGAAGAGCAACGTCTAATAAAACGAATCGAAGAGGATTTCTTCTCATTTAAGAAATCAGAAGGTCACACTATCAACGTTCCTGCGGTCATTTCCGCCGGCTCCTTCGTAATGTCCTTAGGCCACCTCCTGGCAGGATTCGCAGGAATTCTTGCGTGGAAACAATGGTACATCGATCACAATATCACGTGGTTCTTCCTATCGTCCTGTTTTGCCACACTAACATCAGCAATTTCGTTTCTTTTAATCAGTTTGGCCGTACTGGACACTAGAGACAGTCTACTTAATAAAACATCCCCAATTAGTTTAGGCCTGACAGCGAATATTTTCATAACGTCCCTTTTAGGGGTAATTTGGTCGATTGTTGCGACAAATGTAGCTTTTAAGGGTATGAAAAATAATTACCCCGATGATTTAGTGTTGTCAAAGAGTGGGAAGGGTCGGGTTGAAGTAAACACGGTGAGGAAGGGCAATAAAATTGCCAAAGTTGTGCCGCCCGATATTCTCGACCATTTTCCCAAAACTGGAAAACTGGCGAAATTTTTCCCGAAAAATGAGAGCAATGGGAACTTACCCAAAGCCGAAAGTAATAAAGAGTACGAGGAAAGGGTCAAGAGATTTTTGTCGGGGGAGTCGCAAAATTGAAGGACTGATATTTTTTTATTGCATTTGACGAAGGGTTTAAGTCAACATCGACATTTGTAATATTTGATTAGCTTTAAACAATGTACAATTTTTATCACTGTTATCATAAATGACTACTTTTTACTTAATTTTGTGTTGTGATTAACTCTTATACACTTATTTATTTTTGAAACAATCCAGTATTTAGGACACTTATTATGATGAATTAGAATACTTAAATTATAATAAATATGAGTAGTAAATAAAGGTTTTGTAATAAAAACTTACTTATTT